ACTTGAAGAATGCCTGTAGCCTCAACATTTGCTATAAATTGCTATCATTAGTCAATTGTTTTCGAATTTCTTCCCCACTGGGAAGATCAAGAATATCTCTTGCCTGAGTGTACCATTCTGAGCTGATCTCTTTCCTTCTTGAGATGTTAGGGATGATGCCTTGCAGTACCCACTGTGAGTCACAGGTCAAGAGGTATGAAATCTTCCAAGCTCTTTGCATATAGTCTCCACCCTATATTTCTGTGACTCAGTTCACAGATTTTCAAGAGGGCATAACCAGCATGCCCGAAAAATACTTGGGGCTCAGATCCTTTCACAAGAAGAAAATAAGAAAATCTGTCCAGGAGGGTTTACTCAATACTGAGAAGTCTCCCAGCACACAGATCTAGCACTGAAAACTGGGAACCCAGGCAAACTAGGATAGCTGGTCACACTGTGCTCAATTATTTTGTGGAGGAAAAAAATTTAGGCTCAGGAAGGTGACTTGCCTAACAAAAGTACTCAGTGGCATATACAAAATTAGTAGCTAGATTCACTGGTGCTAGAGTCCAGTACTCTCTCTCTGCTGGAACTTCCTTATATTTCCATAGTTCATTGCACACAGGAAGTGCTAAAGTTTCTGTTGTGGTTGTTTTAATTCTTGCTAATTTTCTCCCCTGGAGACTGAGTTTTTAAGATAGCACAGATTGTTAGGGATCAATGCTTTTCATAGATATGATCATTCCTAATTAGCAATGGATCTCATTCAAGGGGCACCATATATCAATGGCAGAACCAGGCCTGTACTTCTAGACTCTGAGCAAAACAGAGTAACTGAAGGGGAGAAAGCTTAGTGAACAATAATAGAAGTGGTTAAGAAAACACATTTTTGCATAATGATTAAGAGACCTGTGTGTATAGGTTGGCTGAGCAACACTGCAGCAGGGGGCACACAGAAATACAATATGGGTATAATAGAGAGGGATGTATTAGTTCTTAGCCCTTAGAGAAAGATTATAGTAGAAAGAAAAATACTATTCTGACAAGGGAAAAAAGGTAACCATGGAGATATGCATACACACACACACACATGTGGTAGTGACCATGTGATGAAAAATTTTATCACCTGACATTCATGGTTGTTTTCCAGGGACATCAAAAGAACCTACTTCCAGCACTATTCACTGTCCTTCGAGGTCTGGTCTGAGACTTGTCTTGTTTTTCTTGCCAATTTCCTTCCCTGGAAACTGAGTTTTCAATAAAGTAGTACAAGTTACTTGCAATTATAATCTTTGCAATGTCTTAAACACTTTATATTACATTCAATGCTATAGACTCACAAGAGGTACGGTGTCATCCATGTGGGAACAGAGAAAGCATTAAGGAATGTGACTTGCTGAGTACTGACAGAAGTGACTCTTGGAAACAAAGGTTTAGGAACTATGCTCTTTATTGTGGCCATCTTCATCAACTCATTTTGTGGGACCAGTGCTTGGGATCTGATTTGCTCCATTTGCAATGGAGCCCAAGGAAGTGGTACATGGAAAAGGAGCAGCATAAACAAAATGGAAGTGACTAAGTTGCTTTGACAAATTAAGTTGGGTGTTAACTCTCAAAATGGAAGCCAGGAACCTACATTTCTATTCCACCACACCTTTTCCTGCTGGTGACCAGACCGGGTTACCTGTTCTTCTGACTAATCCCTGAGAATTCAGAGGTTGAGCTGACCTACTTTGCAAATACCTGTTATGGTGCAGATCAGCAAACTTACTGAAGACAAGTGGTCATGTGGTCTCATTGCTTTTCTTTTTTGTGTTGAAGGCCTGACTGGATGATACTCCTCAAAAGAATGGACTTGTAACCACCCCTCAAAGCAAAAAGGGGATGAAAAACAAATGCTGGAAAAATGTCTAAGGACCTTACCTTAGACATTCTGAATCAACTTTTTTTAAGTAAAACTTTTAAATTTAGAAATTTTGGATTGATAGTTTTTTCCTTAGTTTTAATGTTCTTTTCTGTTTAAGGGTCCCACCCAGCATACTTTATTGTATTTAATTATCATATCTCCACAGGCCACTCTTGGTAGTGAGTTTTATAGACTTTATTTTTGATGACCTTACCAGTTTTAGGGAATAGTAAGCAGGTGTTTTGTTTTGTATTTGTCTTTTTCTCATGATTAGATGGGGTTATGGAATTTGGGGAAGAAGACCACAGAAATAAAGTGACATTTCCATCACATCCTATCACACAGATATATTATCAATATTGACTTACTGCTATTGCTGTTAATCTTGACCATGCAACTGAGGGAGTGTTTATCAAGTTTCTCCAATGTAAAGTTATTCATTTCCCTCCCCTTTTCTTTGAAAGGAAATCAAAACCCATACTTAAGGGGTCCAGAGTTAAGTTTCACTTCTTGGAGGGTGGAATAGCTACATAATTTGTGATTCTGTATGGGGGATTTGTCTATTTCCCACCAAGTAACCATTTATTATCAGCCTAGATTTAAGGCTAGTTTTTACTGTTTGCTTTTCCTCTTAGCAATTTCTTTCTGGGTACTAGTTAAAAATAAGGGTCTTAGGCCCTTTCTCTGGAGACTGATTCAGTAGTTCCAGGGAGCTGGATTTTAAAACAATTACCTGCAGAAAGATGACATCATCAGCTATGTTTGGTAAACACAGCATTAAAGTCATTTTTTTTTTTGCATTGAAGTCATTTTAATGAAGAGTTTTGAGTGAGGCTTAATTTAGATAGACAATGCATAGCATTAGGATAATGCTTTTCAGTTGGGGTTCCAAGTATTTTCAAGTGCACTAATTCAGACTTTGGCTCCTAATTAACGAAATAAAAAGAATTATTCTAAATGTCTTTACTCAAATGTTTTTACTCAAGAGTCAGGACCTAGGGTGACTTCTAGACATTTCAGCATTATGTTAAGGATGACTAAGGAGGTAACTTCATAGTGTAGAAAATTTTAAATGAACCTGTAAAAACTTCTACAATACTGAGAAATTAGAACGGTCATTTTAATAATGAAAAGACAAAGCACTGCAATGAAAAGTGTAGTAAGGGTGGGAAAGCAAGGAGACCTACAGGCACTGAACAAAGTAACATGTGAAGCAGCTGCATTTGCTTCTTCCTCTTGGACTGGTTGAAACAAGGAGTGGGGGAAAGACTTTGGGAGGTTGGCAGGGTAACAATATAGCTGCCTGGAGAATAGGAAGTACATGATGTAACCACTTCTCTTTTGATAGTAGTGACTCATACAGATCTGTTGGCCACTGCAACAAAAGCATTTCCATAACTTAGAAAATCTATTTGAAAAAAGCATTTGTGTTTAAACAAAGGCCTAGATGTTATGTGTGCAGTACCCAACACTACAGGGAAAGAAGGTATAAGACCAGTCACAATGGCAACTCAGGGAACAGTGAGCACCCGTTTAACATTTGATTATAAAATACCAAGCCCATAGCTTTTTTAGTTAGTATCAGAAAAAAAAAAAAAACCCAACAGAGACATGGTAGTTTTAGTGGTTTCTTCTTTAAAAAAAAAAAAAAAAAAAAATATATATATATATATATATGTGTGTGTGTGTGTACATTTATATATATATATGTATACATAAATATAAAGTTCAAGACAACTATTTGTTTTTCCCAAGTTGCTAATCATTTAATTTAGTTATAAAGTTAACGTGCACTTGCTTTACACAGCTAAACTCATTAAAACAAAATACAAATAATTTAAATGTATTTTCCATTTTAACTACTTACCTTTAAACAAATCAATATTTACATGAATATGTAGTTGTATAATCCCATAAAAACTGCAGAGGGCACAATTTAAAAAATGCTACTGTATTGACTAGGGATCTTTTGATGGTAATTTAGAAGGCTCCTGAAGAAATCTGGGCCATTGATCTAATAGGGTGGTCCTCAGGGAAAGGGGAGGTCCCAGATTCCCTGCCTCACCCAAGGCAGGGTGGAGCTGAGCCTGGAAGAGAAGTGGGACGGGGCTGGAGGAGGCTGGAGGAAGAAGGTTGGATAGCAAAGAGACCTAGAGGCACATGGAACAAAGTGACATGCAAAGCAGCTGCACTTGCTTCTTGGTCTTGGACTGGTTGAAACAGGAATGGGTGAGAGACCATTGGGAGGTTTACAACGGCAGCTTTCATCTAGAGTTTGCTCCTCTGCTCCAAGTGTATTGGGCCTCCCTATGAATCTCCACCATGAGGTTTCTTACTTACGGAAGACTTTTGGACCTCGGTGGCCATGCTTTAGGCCAACCCTGGGCATTTACCTACAAGGGGATGGGTAAATTTGGGTGCTTGATTTGGAAACTATTTCATCTATTCTCTTTTCTTTTTATTACACTAATTCTATTAAAGCTCCTTTCCATTAGTTTTATGCACTAGAGTATGTTTTGATGTGGCAGATGACAGAACCTATTTTAGAGTGGGCAGCGTTGGGGATCCTGGGGTGACACTCATCTTGCTTGGTAACACTGAGAGAAAAACTATACTTTGTTGGAATCAGAATAACCAGCGTACTTTTTCTCCAGCAAGGATCCCTAGGAGGGGTCAAATTTCAGCAGTTAAGCCTTAATCTACTTATCAGTAAGAATATAATTACTAATTCAGTTTTGCATTAAACAAGGAGTTCATTAAAAAAAAAAAAAGACTAGGATAGTACATAATTCAAAGTTCCAAATTCCATGACATTGAACAAATTTTTCTTAACTATTGATATTCATTTATAGCAACTTTAATGGAAATAGTTTGGGACACCATACCACTGTTATAAGTAAAAAACTTAATATCTAATAAACTAAATGAAACTATAAAAACAAACAAAATATAAGATCTCCAAATCAAATAATTACATTCCAAATACAGTGGAATACTATTTAGTTATAAAAAAGCTGAAACTTTACCATTTGTAACACTATGGATATACATCGAGGGGATTACACCCAAGTGAAATAAATCAAAAAGAGAAAAAATATCTATAAAATGTCACTAATCTATGGAATGCAAAGATAAAATAAATGAACAAAAGAACAAACAAAAGAAACACTTAAAACCAATGACAATGGTGATTACCAAATGGGGTGAGTACCGAGAGAATAGGAAAAGGGAGGCTGATTGGTTGATAGAGGAAGGTGATAAATGGTGATGGAACATTTAGTGATAGGCATGGTGTGACATATAGTTACTGAAATGAAAAACTGTACATCTAAAATATACTATACAGTATTGTAAAGTAACCTCAATTAACAAAACCAATATTCTAAAGACCCAGTCCATCATTTGCCTTGGCAAAGGAGGAAATTTGTAAGCTAAAATCCATCCTACCAGTTCAATCCAACAGTTGATATAGTACCTAGAATGTATAAGGCACTACTGGAACACAGATTAAGTAGCAGTTACATTTGTTTGGCTTAAGAGGAAGTAAAGAATTATAAGGAAATTACCAAAAGTAAGTAACATTTTAAACCAGGCCTTTCAGAAATGTGAGTGTGTGTGTGTGTGTGTGTGGGGGGGTCTTCATATAGCATAAAGGAGAGGACAGTTAGGTGAAGGAAATGGTATCTACCCAAACTCACAAAGATAATCTGGGACCTAGGGCATCTGAACCACTGCAAAGAATGTCCAAAGAGAGTTCCTGTCAGAAAAAAAGCCATGTTAGAAAGGTTATTATTTGTTGCAGAGAACTGATTTTCTGGCATCTATAAGACTGACCAGCCATCTTTTGTGGGTAAATTAATTTCAATTACAAGAATGGTAAGAAAATTAGCTTTATTTATGTAAATTAGAAAAATTGACTGTAGTGTTAGAACTTGTCAAGTGTTTTCATATTCAACAATTTACAAGAGTATATATATGTGTTTATATATACATATATATACATACAAAAATAATAAAATAGAGTACATTACATTGCTTGTTTAACTACAAGTGTTTTCTCAGTTCTGAACATGCCCCTATTACTTTGGTTTTTAATTTTAACAGGGAAATGCTTTGTTGTGACATAGTACTTGATTCAGAGTCTAACAGTGAGGTGGGGGGAGAGTTAATGATAGTTAAAAATATTCTTCAATCAATATGACTTTAATCTTAGATTTAAAATTTTCTATTAAAATTTTATGTTAAAAAGACTTATATTTACTGATGATCTAAGTTTGTACTAAATTTGATATTTTATAAATTCATAATAGACCTAAATATAGACATGAACTATACTGAACTCATCAGTATAGCTTGCCTAAAGGAAAAAGAACAATATTATTAGGAACAGAAGTAACAGAAATCCAACTGAAAAATTGAAGTAGAGATGTCTTTTTCTACATAAAATGGGTAAAATTTCAATTTTCTGAATCCAATACAAATGAAATCATGGTGAACAGTCACATTTAAAGATACCAAATTTATGACACACTGTAGGGCTACAAATGACCTGTTGTTATTCTAAACCAAATTTCCTAAATAACTTTCCAATCATTTATGTTGTTTGAGATATGCAATAAAGTTTAATACAATTACTGAATAAAGCAGAATTTAAATTACCGTTGAGGTACAATATAAATGCAGATAATTTATTCTAGATCATTTCTATCTGCTGTAGTATTAATACCATGTGTGTATGTACTGTAAGAAATCCATTTCATTTTTGAAACAGTACGTTGTTTAGTAAGTTGTTTTTTTAGCACTTTCTTAAAATTTCTGGCAAGAATTCTGCAGATCTGTGTTTTTTATTAAATGGAAAAAACTCACCAAAAATTAAGTTTTATATTACTTTGAAGTGTTACAACAATTTAAGATAAAGCAATCAACCAGACCGCCAAGTGCACTTGTGTCTAAAATGTCACTTTTGTTCCCAAAGAGAAGGAAATGAACAAGCAGTTTCTTAAGGTGCTTAGTATTAAAATAATAATAATAATAATAATAATAACAACATTAGAGGAAATTGGTCTTCAACTGGATGCTTGAATTCTTTCCAGGGTTCTTAGTATGTTTAGATGTTGGTATCTTTACTTTGACACTCTCTTGATTACACTTTATAGCAGCCTCAAGGCGGGCTTTCAGGGTTGGAGAAGCAGCCATTACACTTTTAAAAACAGACGAATACTGAGGCCCAATCTGCATAAGATTTTGCAAAGCAAAATCATGTAAATTTCTCATTATGGAAGTTGCTGATCCCAGAGTATTTTCATCTAAAAGGAAGGAAATAAGGATGGGCAGAAGACAGGACACCAGCTGAGCACCTGGAAAGTAAAGAAATGATGTTAAGTTCGAAGCTTAAGGATGTAAATGCTCATTAAACAAAGCTGTAAATCCATCTGATCTGTACACATTTTCCCTCACTTAAGAGGAAAAGTTTTTCAAGTCTCTTCTTCCAAATTTACATTTTAAATAACATTAAATTTATGATTTGGGACAGAGCTGATTTAGTATAAATTTAGTTCTGACACTTACGATGCTGTTCTTCTGCAATGGCTACCAGTGCTTCCAAGACTTTTATACCTTCTTGAAATGTCTGAAGCTCGGTTGTATCTTCAGGTTTCCTCTTGTCTATTTCCTGCAGTTTTTCCACAATAGAGGATACTAAAGAGTGAATGTATGGGTAGGAAACAGCTGGATTTGGATACTGGAAAATGGAAAGGAGGAGCTGATAGGTCTTGATTTGTACCTAAATCAGAGAAAAGACAAACACAGTATAAACTATAAATACAAATTTATACTTACGTTTAAATATGTTTTAATGTACATTTTAAGAGTAAATAAAAAATGTAAGTTTTATAAAAGATCCTTAAAAAGTATTTAAATTTAAATTTATCTTTAATTCTGGAAGTCCAGGTAAAACAGGTATTCAAACTTGAATGTTAACATTGGTTGTAATAACTGAATAGGCATAAAGGCATGTGGGTACCACAGGGAAGATGAGTGGTTAATTTTTTATTTCTCAGGTTCTCACCCCCCACCCCACCCATGTACCCCTCTATAATGTAAATATTCCAATTAAAACTCTCTCTGTTAGACACTTACCACAGGGTCTTTTATCTCAAGAGTAGTCTTAAATTTCTCTATACAGCGCTTCTGAAGGCATGGGATGGTAGTTACTTCTGGACTGGCAGACAACATAAAGACTGTGATAGCAGTAAGTAGGCTGACTTCATCAAGTTCCTGGTGTGTTTTATCTATTAGGGAGAAATGATCTCTATTCATCACCATTCACCACCATCCTTTTCTTTCCCCAAATAAGCATTCTCATTCTGCTCTGCTTACTGTCCCCAAATGTACTATGCTATTTAGTACACCTTGAAATTTGCAAGGTACCTAGAACTGTTTCTACAATGTGTTCATATGTGCAATGCTTTCTGATCCTCTGAGAATTTGACTCCTCTGAGAAGCCTTCTGTGGTAGCTATCAAGAACCCATCTGTGGGGTAAGGCTAGCAACATTAGAATTGGCCTCAGCTATGGCCTGAGGCCACATACTTTCTGGGGCAGCCCATATCTGAGGCAGAGTATGAAGGCAAACCATTTCTGTCCTAAGTGACACATTCTGATGGGTACTCTCCAGAGCTCTCCTGACAGGTTTACTGAGCTTTGTTGCAGGCCCACAATACAGTCTGAACCTTGTCTACTACTACTTTCCTCTATTTGTTTTACAGATGTTCCTCAATAAAACTCTTATTCCTCAAATTCAATCTCTGTATGAGCTTCCATAGTACCTGATCTGTGACGCTACCTGATTCCTTCCAACAGAGATGATTACTCTCATTTTTGCTGGTCAGTGTCTTTTTTTTTTAATTGTACAAGAAACACAGTGAGAATTAAGATATTACATTGCCTTTAGGGATCTCCTTGTTGAACTAATCATACCCTATGGTAACTTATAGGCATTAGGCACCACTTGACTTGCAACTTCAACACAAAACAGATGGGGAATGAAACCTGAATTCAGATGAAACCTTTTTACCATATATATCAAATATGATAAATTACAGCATTTATAAAGAGAACAAAGAAGGTAAGGGTAATATGTAATATGTCTAAAGACTTTGTACAATCACTACAATGTAACACTGAGAATGAAAATTACACATTAGTAAAACAAAGTTTAATAGATACTGTACATTGTATTGGCTATCTTTATTGATATGTCAGGTAATAAGAAACATTCCTTTCTTATGTTACTGCTTTAACAATTCCCTGCAGCATAATCTCCTTGTTTTGTTAATAAGAAAATCAAGGCTCAGAAAAAATTGAGTAATTTGGGTAATCAGCTAGTAAGTATTGGAGTGAGGATATAAACCAGGTTTTATTTCACACTTATCTCATTCTTATGAACTTTTATTATACTGTGTTATTAAAAAGTCCTATTATCTAGTCATAGGTCATATTATATTTTAAAATTAACACATTACATTTAAAGGGTTTCTCACTGTCAAAATTTTAGCTAGCAGTTCGTTAGTTGTCTTAAAGGTTAAAAATACTAAAATGAGAACATAGATTTTTCTATCAGCTCACACACACATGTTGTGAATATGGCCTCTTCTACGTGAAAGTAGCAAAGATGATCGAGTAAATAGCTTATTCTCACAAATTGTTCCCCTTACTTTTTAAAACAGAGTAACTGCTTCCAAAGAGTATTAGGGCCTGGTTGTGCAAAGAGTTAAAGTGCAGCACCATGAAGCTACTGGTAGCCCCAGTAGCATGAATTCCATCCCAGGTCAGGGAGGTAAATTTATGGCGCAGCAGACCTCTCCTGTGTTGCCCACTACTCCTCTGAGCAGTGATTTTGTCAGTTCCACCTATTCTGCTACCTACTCTGTCTCTCATGTGTCCTCTCACCCTCCACACCTCAGGTCTAGCCCTTAGTTCTGGTATGAAAAAATAAGTCCTAAAAAAAAAACTGAGAACAAAAACAAATACCAAAAAATAATAAAGAATCTTAGCTACCTGAATCCCAACAGTCAAGAATCGTTGTTAAAGCACTACGGAGAAGATCAGTCCAAGCACTATGACTCTTTTCTGCTCGGGCCATGGGAGAAGATAATATTCCTTTCAGAGCCTGTAGGGAAGCTGCAACCGTTGAAGACAAATGGCCCCCAGGTAACCTCACAGCAGTTTCTCTGAGGACCCCAATTGTGAGGTATAATATAGTAGGGAGAATTGAGATGCTTCCTGAAAGATACATTTTTAAAAACAGTCTATTTCAGGCTCTATATAATTCCTAAAAAGAAATCATTAATAAACAGGCATGTCAAAAATTTCTAGCTTTTAAGATAATTTTGCATAAAGGAATTTAAATTACTTTAATAACTTCTTATTTGGTAGTTGAAAAAGTATGAATTAATTTTTTAATATGGTAAAATATTCAATGTATTTACCATTTTAAAGAATGTAATCAGGGCAATACGTACATTCACGATGTTGTGCAACCATCATAGTCTCCACTTGAAATTATTTTACTGTAAACTGTTGTCAAAGAATTGGTAGTGGTCCACTCAATACAAAATATTAAAGTTTTCATGATCACCAAGGAGTGGAAAAGTCAGTTATGTTTAAAATGAAAGGGAAGATACTAAAGTGAATATTGTCAACTTAACTTTCCCAGAAGCTACTCAAGAAATTCATCTTCACCCTGTTAGTCACTTTTTAGCTTCACTTAGTATATACAAGGCAGTGTGTATGAACAAAGAATACAGATTTTAATTTAAATTGAAACTTAATGTCATAAAATAAGGTAACATATAAAATGGTGGAGGCACATGTAAACAGAAGATTAAGAAGTACCTATTGAGTACCACTTATGTCCTAGGTAAAATTTTCCAAAGGAAACAACAGAGAGGTCTCTCTCTCTCTCTCTCTATATATATACATGTCTCTTTATATAAATTACATGTATCTCTATACAACATGTTAAAAACTAGATATCTACATATAGAAGCTACACACACACACACACAACTCAATATGAGCTAGAGTTGTTAGGGGAAGTCTTCATAGGTTTGAAGATTAATTTTAAAGAAAGGCAAAATTTTAAAAAAGAAGGAAGGAATGGGGTGGTTTCAGATTAAGTACCACCATGGATGAGCACAGAGCCTCCTAAGTTTAACATTTACACAGAAGGAACCAAGAGGAGGCAGTAACTTAGCAGAGCCTTAAATACTATATTAAAAGTAAGGACTTGATTCCAAACAGAAATGGATGTAATCACAAAATTCTGTCATCACTGAGGGAGGGAAGTTCAATAGATACTGTATCTCCAAACTGTGCAAGAACTTATATCTTTTACTGAGTGTTTAAAACACTGTTATACAAGAGCATATCTGGGTATAGTAATGTTCTCTCTAAAAATACTTTCATCTTTTTAGTGAAAGATTATTAGAATGTAATGTTAATCATAGAGGATTAAAAACAATACTTAAATCCTTGGATCAGCATTAATTTAATGAGAAAGGGATTAATAACCATCATCTCCACTATCTAATAAAACCATTTCTCTTCTTTCTGGTCAAGCAAAGCAATCACATTCCAGAGCATACCTTCAGGAGAGCAGACAGCAGGAAGTTCAGAGAGGATAACTAATGCAGCTGAAACCAATCTACTTCCATCCTCTGACAGCATCTGTGGTTTTGCAGCTTTTATTCCTGGGCTACCTGTCAATTTAGGATTTAGTTCTGGGAGCTGTCTAACTAGAATGCATACACACAACTCCAGTGTTGCAAAGACCAAAGACTTCCCAGGCACAAGTCCACCTGTGTCCTTTCCCTCTCCAAACTCTGGCAGGGTTTCTTTTTCCGCAGCCCCATCATCAACTAAAAGAGAAAGAAATAATGTTGTATAAATGACTGATAAATATCTGCTTTGCTTCAGACAGATGCCAGTTTAGCTCATTTCTGTTGTAGGCAACATACATAAACGTTACAGTCTGGGTATTAAAGACTGAAAGGGAAAACAGTAACAGAATCATAAAATCCTTGGTAACTCCCTCAGGTTAACTCCTTAAAATATTATCCTCAACTCCTTGAGGTTGATTATGTGACCTAATGGAGCTTGAGCAATGACTTCGCCTTTCAGTATTGATAATGATTGTGTAGAAAAAGAGGGATCAAGTTCAGACTAATTATCTCTTAATTTATTTTAGATAAGAGAATATGTCCTTGAGGTTTCAAATCTACTGCACAATAATGGATAAGCTCTCCAAAACTGTACTACACTTGTAAACAAGCTATTTAATTCCTTTGCAAAACCTAGGCAATAAAAAACTGTCAGTAGTTATTTTTATGTATATTAGTACACACTTATAACAAAAGTACCCAGTAAGTGTCAGAATTTTTTTTTTCCTTCTAAGGTTAAGATTCTCATTTTCCCAAGGAATAGTAATTTGGTTACTGACAATACCCAAGTTAACATATAGATGTTACCCAAAGATGTTTCATTTGTACTACACACAATGAATTATTATAACAACATGAGCAATATAAGCAATATTTAAAAAAATGATGTTATTTCATAAATTTGGCAGTATAGGTCTAACATTCACCTTCTGCACTTCGTCTTTTCTCCTTCACATGTTCTTGAGCTGCACAGATGATCTGCCTTACCACTTCAAGTGAAGCCAATTGAATGGAAGGTGATTCTCTGGTCAAAATAACTCGATGCAGTACATTCAACAACTCGATACCCAAGTCCTATCATAGAAAATATTTAGGGGAGACTCTTAAAGATGACAGTTTCTTTTATTTTTAAATATTAATGTTAAAAGCCATGACAGGTGTGGCAGACCTCTCCTGACCCGCCCGCTGCTCCCCATCAGCAGTATACTTCATCCATTTGCCTGTTCTGCTCCCCATTCTGTCTCTGGTGAATCCTCTCACTGCCCCTGCATCTCTGACCTGTACCCCAGTTAAAGCACAGCATTATGAAGCTGCTTCAGGGAAGTGACCCATACTGTGCAGCAGACCTTTCCTGTGCTCCCCTCAGCAGGGTACTTTGTCTATCTGCCTGTTCTGCTCCTCACTCTGTCTCTGATAAGTCCTCTTACTGCCCCTGTACCTCTCGCCTGTATCCCAGTTCTGTATGCTGAATAAATAAATCCTCAAAAAAAGAATAAAATACACTGGACAAAACTTTTATTTTTCTCATCTTTTCACTACTATGGTGACTTCCTTTAATCTTTCAAAATTACACCACCTGTTTTTCTTAGCCTATAGGAGTCGATAACAAAAATTTGATACACTGATAATGCATGATGTTAGGTGTTCTTGGGAGAGCAGTTAAAGGAAGTGTCATACTTCACACAGAGATCCTTTCACTATTGTCACCTCTGGGTCAGATATTGGTGTGTGACTGTCCCTGTAGACTAGTTCTTAAAATGCCTGGAGGAAGCAGAGACATTTTATGGGGGTGGAATGAGGAATGGTATCAAAAATGGTGGGGGAAAGGAAGTGTACTGGACTATGGTGATGGCACGTGGGTGATATGGTGATGGGAAGCCCACAGGGATTACAACTGAGATGGAAAAAGACACAAAGTGATATAAAAGTAAACTATTATATTATTTTTAAAAAAATGCCTGGAGGAAGAATTCTGCCAACAGAAATACATATAATAATTTTAGGGACAGACAGTAACTACAAAACCAATTAGATTTTTTCTTGGAAACTGGAAATGTAAGATATAGATGTATGCATAAGATCAAAGAGCACTGTAACAGAAAGAAACAAGAGAAGAATGCTACATGTAACTAGTAGCTACTGTAGAGAACAGTGCAATGCAGAATCTTCCCATCATCACAGTTCCACTAAAGAGCATCTTTATAGAGTAGTGAGCCGGTGGCAACAGAAGTGAGTGCAGCACAGAGAGCAGCAGTCAGAGGCATGACTGCTCCTGGGTAACCATATGATTGCTCCTATTCTTCCTGTTGTTAAGGTCTAGTGGTGCCTTTTTTTTTTTTTTTAATTTCTCCGTGTTGATGCTCTGTTTGCTGTAGAAACCTGAACATGTTTCTGTCTCTGCTCCTTCAAATCTATAGAAACCTAACAAAAAACAAGAAATCACCTGATCACTGCCAATTTTAGATCTGGGCCAAGGAACATCTAGAAGGGCCTGTAATGCATGTAAACAAGCAGCAATGCTTTCCATGGTTGCATCTGAGCGTAAGGAACAAAGAAATTCCACACTGATTCCTGCAGAAAGCAGAAAAAGGTTTTTTTTTTAGTTTATGAAGTTAAATAATTGATACTCCATTTTGATCTGAGATACAAGTAAGCTTAGTAAAAAGGTAACTGACATAAACATAAAAAATTCAGGTAAGTGAAAAGGCAAATCTTTTAATAGTTTGCTTTTATCTACATGAACACAAATAATAATCTTAATTAGGCATGTGCACTAGAGAATATAATGTGTAGTTTCATGACTGTATTTTAACTAAAATTATATTATAGACATGGTACTTTACATATATTATTCCATTTCATTCTCACAATGCCTGATGAAGCAGGTATTACTCTTTTTGGAGTAGGATAATAGCACACAGAGCTTAAGCAACTTAACTTGCTCAAGGTCTACTACAATGGTGTACACATCAAGAATTGACAGTAGGTAAGTGAACTATAGTTTATGATCCTAGTATGATTTTAGTAATTCTGCTATCCTTGATTCTCTAAGTTTGTTTCTGAATGGCTCTTGCCCCAAGACAAAAGTAAACAAAATTTTAATATGCCCAAAGATAAAGGAAATCACATCATGTCTGTCTTGGGAAAGAATGATAGAAATCTCATAATTCTTTCTTGATCACTTACCCTCATATTTCCTTAATCAATAACTTCTTTACAGGTTATGATCTAATGAGTTATTTCCCCAGAACTAAGTTAAATATGAAAAGACATTTATCCCATTAATTTTAGAAACAGCATATAGAAAATACATCAATTTAAAATTGTAGTTTCAGGAAAACCAAAAAATGGGTTAAGTTTAATAAAAATCCCTATCATTTTTTACCTTAATCTGTATCTTTTATAATTTCTTGAACCTGTAATCCTTGAGAACTGGAGGAGAAGCCAATCAGTATATTAATTTTTTTATATTTATATTGAGAAATCAGAACATCTGTCAATACCACTTGTATCTTTTATGTGGAAAGAACTAGGGTTTTTTTGAAATTTCTACAATTCACTCAACCTGATGCCAAAGTCAATTTGTAATTGGAGTCTCTATATAATAAAACTCAATGTTACAGATATATACAATTATACTCAATTATATCAAGGCTACCACTAATATCTAGCAAATGAGATGACTGACAGTACCAAGAGCTGACAGAGTCCGCTAATGACAGACAATTCAAGAAAAACACAGTTATAGAAGCTTGTCTTTTACTAACCTAGAATAAGATGGAACCTATCAGTGTAGATATCCTCAGGGGACTTCACTGTAGCCCCAGATGATGAACCCTGACACATGGAAGTTGGTGTTACAGGTCTTGAGAGATTTGATGCTCCTTCATCTGAGTCAGCAACAACAAAGTCTGTGCTTGTAAGCCACAGTGCTGTAGCATGGAGAATAAATGCCCAGGAGTTATAATAATGCAATTTTGCATTTTCACTGGTCTCTGCTGTGTAGAAAGCACCACCTACAAAAAGTTTCAGGAGGAATAAGAGATTAATACACATTACAATTTTTTTTCTTTGTTCAGCAATATGGAACACTTTCATCATTCCGAAAGTTCCTTTGTGACCTTTTCCAGTCACAAAGTCACAACGTTTACCCTTCACCTCAAGGCAACTACATTCTAACTTTTATCACCACAGATTAGTTTTGCCTGTTCTTGAATTTAGTGGAAAACCACATAGTATGCACTGGCTTATGTGAATTTTGTTTAGCAATGCCTGTGGGGATTCATCCATGCTGCTAGCTTATCAGTATTTTGTTATCAAATGTTTTTATTTATTCTGGGAGTACAATTGCTAGGTTAGAGGGTTGATGTATCTTTACACTTTTTAAGAAATGCGCAGTCTATGTCTTCACTATTTTTTTATCATAAAATATTATAAGACAAATATGTATATATACCTCATTTTAAAACAAGATTAATATCTACCTCCAAGATTAAGACTAACATTTGCCTTTCTTAAATCTCTTAAAGTCTGTAACTCTGTGGCACCACATATTCTTGACTCTCCTGCAACTACTTCCTCAAGTCAGTGTGAATCACTCCCAAATATGGTTTTATACTTTGATAACAGACATTTCAATTCATAAATAATGTCTGCATTTATCTACTGAAAAGGCATCAGACTGCATGTGTCCTTCTAAACTATTTTTTCACCTACCACTGTTTTAGGATTTCCTTTTGTAATTTACTTTTGCTAAAAAACTGACTATAAATCTGTTTCCTGTTTTTGCTACTGAAAAACACAAACTGTATATTTTTGTGTATGATTTCAATTAAAAATTTAGTCAATAAGCTAACTATAAAATGTGTACCAAGGATAAAAGAATTCATTTTTAAAATAAAATGAAGATTGAGAGTCTAAAAATATTCAATCAGTCTTTAGTAAGACTGTAAAATTAGATCCCTATCCCCACTCCATATACACAAAATAAATTCCACTTGGACTAAAATCCAAAATTCAAAAAAAACTCAACTATAAAATGTATACATCTTCATGATTTTAAGTAAAACACAAACCACAAATAACTGATTACACCATTTTTTAAAAAGTACAAGAAAAAACAAGCTAGAGGCTGGAAGATATCTATAAGACATGGAGCCACAAAGGGTCACTACATAAAGGATTAACATTTCAGTAAGAATATAGGCAAAGGTATGACTACATGATTTATGGAAGAAACTTAACAGTTCATAAATCTGTGAAAAAAGATTCTCAATTAAGGGGACAACAAAAGAAAAAAATGATGCACAATTTCATATCCATCAAATTGGCAAAAATAATTATAACATATAATGGCAGATGAAGAAAGACAGAAATATATTGTTGGACTTCGGTAGAACACTTTTTTAAAAAAGATTTATTTATGCATATAGAACTGCGGTACAGGCCAGAGGTGCAGGGGTGGTGAGTGGATCCACCAGAGACAGAGTGGGGAGCAGAATAGGCAGATCGACGAGGTTCACTGCTGAGGGGAGCAGCAGGCGAGACAGCTGAGGTCTGCTATGCATGTGGGCCACCTCCCTGGCCAGGAATCCCACCCTGTGCTGCAGTGGCTGTAGATAGCTTCCTAGTGCTGAGACTTAACCCCTTGCACCACCAGAGAGGCCCATAATATAACCACATTGAAGAGTAATGCGGCACTACTTTGTAAGGTTACAATAGCATGCCTTACAACCTAGCCAATTAACTTGAGGATGTCTACATTGAAGTAACTCTCACATGTTTATTCTATGAATGAAAATTATTCTGGGAAAAATGCTTCCAACAAACATTACCTACTGAAAGGGAAGTTTTCAAAATACAAGTTACTGAAAGTCATTCTAGGAATTATGTAAATATTTTATGCTTTTACCTTCAACAGGAAGTTGGGAGGAAAATTCTGCAGGCAAAGTTAGGAGAGCAAAATCCTGAAGCGCAGCAAGCCAGAGTCTACTTAGTGTGCTCAAGTCTGTGTGGACTAAGTCAAGCAGTCCATCTGATGAAAATGACCCATTTCTGATATTTTCTTCTGAACAGGTAGTAGTCTTCAAAGGTTGTTTGTGGTTTTTGTATTTTTCTACAGCAACTACATAGACCTGGTGAAAGTTAAATTGTAAACAGAAAAATCTTGTACCCACTGAAAAGATGCTATATGTTTACAGAGGTAGATTTAACTTTGAATATAATGGACTCGAAATGCATTGTGATACCAAAAATGTACACATTTATAATCACATACACATCACTGGGACAGAAAGATCCAAAAGTATTAACCTCAGTGAGATCCATTGAGGGTAATAAATTATTGATAAGTATTGCTGCCACTTTGCAGTTTTACAACTATGAAAACTATAACTAAATTATGACAGCACTCTTACTAAGCCTACTTTTGGCCTTATGACCCATATGAACACATGGCTCCCTCATTTCTGAATTAAAATAATATGAAATACTGACAATACTATCTTTCAAAGGACTATAAAATGTTGACATGTTAACATAGTACACAATATATACAATCTTCCTATTCACAACTGTAAAATCCAAAAAACCTCTGAAAAAATGTGGAAAACTAACCAAGTAGGAAAACTGAACTTATGTGAGGTAATTAACAACCTCTATCCAATATAGTGTGTAGATTCAAACATTTTACTACAGATATATTAATGTGTTTAATTATAGATTTTATAATATTGCCAGGACATCCTATGTGGATACATGGAATTTGCTCCATATTACTTTTCAGAAGTCCTTGAAATTCTAAATCCCCAGTATAGTTAACTCCGGGGATTTCAGAAAACAGATTATGGACCTTAATCACACACAGGACTTGTTGATCAGTTATTGTCATTCCTGAGGAAAATAGAAGAAGCAATGACTTTAAGCAGGAGAATAAATATTCAATGTATTACAAAGTACACTATATGAGCAGTGTAAAATATTATCTGTAAAAAGGTTATAGAGATTATAGGATTTGTTTGCGACGCTAAATATATGTTTAAAGGCATTTATGACTGACTGTTAAAGAACATAAGACCTACCTTATTAAATACAGGTAGAATTATTAAGGTTTGTCAAAAGCAGAGATTCTGTAATCTTCAGGTTTTGACTAGTTCTAAGAAACTAGTGGTTAATTCTCTCAAATACAGTCTGAATCATAGACTTTCATTAAAATGATGTATGAACCAAGTTTGGTAACTGCTGAAGCTGAATGATAGATATGTGTGTATTCATATTATATTTTATCTTTTTTCTGGCCAGTGTATCTACTTACAGATATGCGTGAGTGAAACTGCAAATTTCTAACCAATTGATTTCCTCTTGATTAGAAAATTAAAGAAAGTCCAGCATTTCCCCATAAATTTCTTTACTTTTGGAAAAGAAAACAAATATTTAAAATTCAAAGTGATTCCATGAAAGAATACGATAAAATAGCATCTGTTATGACCTTCACAGACTACAAACTTTATTTCTAATAATTCAGATTTTAATAAAATTTGATTTCCGCCGGTTATTATAGTATCTCCCTGGCTTCTAACTGCCCCTGCTTATCACAATTGCACCTGGCTGAAAGCAGCAAGTAACACTTCAGAATGTTGTTTCTTGTTAATATTAAAAATGGACTTAATTGTTTTTAAAATACTTTCAGTGCATTTCCTAAGGTGTCTATTAACAACCTATAAACTTTCAATTATACTAACCTCTGCCCAGGCTTTTAGCACCGCTAAGATCTCCATGGTAGAAGCACTTTCATTATATATGTGACTTAAAGCTTCTTTTCCAGCCTGAATTTTTGTTAATGATGAAACAAGCAACTGATGAACTCTTCGGAGATCATTAAGGTCACTTACAACTCCACTTGCTATCCAGGCACTGCAAACCTGGTTTTTAAGAAAATCAAAAGTTTCATTTAAAAATGACAAATGTTGGCCCTCCCTGGTGGCACAGTAGATGAAAGCACAGCACTAAGCCACTTAAGCATGAGTTCAATCCCCCCCACGAAGGTGACCCACATGATGCAGCAGACTTCTGACCCGTCTGTTGCTCCCCTCAGCAGTGTACCTCGTCGATCTGCCTGTTCTGCTCCCCACTCTGTCCCTGGTGAAGCCTCTCACCGCCCCTGTACCTCTGGCCTGTACTCCAGTCTGTATGCATAAATAAATAAATCTTTTAAAAAGTAAATAAAAATTAGAAATGCCATCTTCTCTGTGAGTACAGAGGAGTTTAATCATATCTTGGGAATTCAGTCACTAAAATCGATTTCCTATCAAGAGACCCAACAGGATGTTTTTGATATCAAAAACCAGCATTTCAAACGGAATGAAGACTAAGGTAGAAGGAAACCAATACTAAGGTATAGGTAACCAAGGATTAGATGTTATTAACATGAAGAAGTGAAGTCATGAAAGATACCACTTTCATATGTGTTGGGGTTAACATTTGAATTAAATCTCAATCTTCATCTTATTTTAATATCAGTATTAAGATAGCTGTTGTAAGATAAAGCATGAAATATTTAAAATCCCAATGAAGATTTTGATTCTCTTCAAGACAAGATACTTAAACTTTTAATGAACATTTTGAAAAAAGCTGTCTCATTTGAAATACAAATTTAAAGCTGTCCAAAAATACCCTTTTCAATTCTTGTCTCCATGACAGAGAAAAGTTTTAGATTGAAAATTCACAACATTGCTGAGACTAAGGGTCAACAGATACCTGCAAAAGTTGCTAGTAGGAATTTAGATTGTTAAACCCTTATAAAAATACTCTCTAAGCAATTCAATTTTGGGGGTTTATCTCAAAGATACACTTTTGATTCAGTGAAATGACCTGTGCACAAGAGCACTCTCTGCAGCACAATTTCTAACAACAAAAGATGAAAAAAATCCATATGCTCACCACTATTAAATAATGGTAGTGATATATTGGATTACCATGCAATTAAATGAAAGGATGAAATTCTCTAAATTTAAAAAGTAAAGGAAAAGGAGTACCTGAGATGAAAGACTAAACAACTAAAATGTAGAAAGTTTGTATCAAGTACAAACTAAAGAACTGTTTTGTGAAAGCTACTTTTTTTTATTACAAGTTTATTTTTACATCATTTTGTACATTTTTTTTTTTGTAATCACCACGGGTTTCCCATCATCAAGTCACCCATGTGCCATCACCATGTGAAAGCTACTTTTTAATGTTTTAAAGCATTTACCTGACATGCCTTGGCAGTGACATTAGGTGGTGTCTCTGAGGTGAAGGCTGGTCTAAGTGCTGCTCCTACCTGGCAAGAAATTATATGATATATCAAACAAGAATAATATAGCACACATTCTCTTTTTAAATTAACGTTGTTTTGCCTGCCCAAATATTTTCCCATTTTTAAACAACATCCAGATTTCCTTTCTCTCTCCATAACTCTTCGCTCCATGTTGTTGCAACAGAGTTGACAGCACTACTGGCTTCAGCTACCAATAGGAGGATGAAGGGACTTTTCTCTTTAAGATTTTTGCTGGGCACAGTGGGAAAGAAACACTGTCTCTGTGTAAGAATCTAGATGCTACGAGAACCATTTTGTGACAACTTGAAAAGAGCAAACTTGAGACGAAAGCCTATGTAGAAGAAAATGGAACTAAGACTCCTGAAAATAACTTTCCTTTTCTGAAGTGAGTTGTAATTACATTTCTATCATTTGCAATTTTAAGAGGGTTAAAAATATAACAGTGTTAATTAAGCTATATTATATAACATTTTATTCTAATAGTTTTATGTAACTTCGCCCGTTCCTTTGCTTTCTCTCTAAGAAGACACTGGCATAACCTGCTGGGAAGATGTGATTGATGGAGACTGCTAGCCAACTGGTGAACTGTTCCATTTAGGTTCCCTTAATTGCTTGTGATCAAAAGCTGCTTCTGAATCATGAAAAGTCTCCTAGAGTAATACTGCTGGAGGACTACACTTAATGTGTGTGATGTGGTATATGATTGTTATTTTCCTTTGCTTCCTAGGTTGCACTAGTAAAATGCCATTAATTAAAAAGGATTATAGAACCAGTAATAGGATCCTGAATTCTCTTTTAAGTTCAGAAAAACCCTACAAAAAAGCCCCCAAAGGATGTAACATATAATATTTTATTCTAAGAGTAATGGCTTAGAGATAAAACATGCCATGTGGGGCCTAAGTAGAATACTCAATAATGATTTAGTGTTAGGTCAATTCAGACAGTTTGTAAAGCATTTAATTACCAAGGTTTTAATTATGAAAATTAACCCTTGAAGTTATAAAAGATTTGTTTTATGTACCATTTTTACTTTACTTGAAGATTTCTTCAAACATACATTTTCTATGTACTGACCATACTGATGACATATTAGCAATAATATATACTAACTTATCTATTAAGAAGTGACATGCCAATTGATTTCACAGATTTTTTATCTGGAGTTTAATCAAATTGTCTAACAGAGAAGAGCTTACATTGGCTTGATACTGTTCCAGAATTACATGACCTGGAAACTCTGGTTCTGGAATAGCTGCAAATCGCCGAATAACAACTAACAACATTTCAAGGCCAGAAAGACGAAGCTGGTCACTGTGATCTGTGGCTGCCATAAAAGCCATGCGAATTAAATCGGCAAGATGTAGCACCAAAAAGTCATCTACAAGAACAAAATACAGCTTATCAAGAAAAAGAACACGCTAGAACAATTATATACGTTATGTGATAAAACCAAAGTCAGAAATAGGCATTCTTTAAACCAGGGTTAACAAAAAATTCAATAAAAATTTTGTTCAGGCTTTCTGAGAAAATATATTAAAAAGTGCTTAGGAGACATTAGGCATTGATGAATTAGGTTGTAATTTATTCTCCATATTAAGTTGAAGCTAAAAGTTAATACCCTCCCTTTTTTTAAATAAAGAGTAACAGTCCTTCATATTGATTAGATTATTTTTTGCAAGTCTTACGGCACACATACAAATTATGGAAATACAAATATTTCTAGCTATAAAATTATAACTGAGAATTTCTTTCATTCCTGTAGCATATTCTTTGATCTAATATTCTACTCGGGAGATATGTAAGAAACATTATTAATAAAGCACATTAATAAAGTATTTAGAGTTATAACTAACTTTTATTTAAGACTAATTTGAAGAAGAGTAGTTGTGGTTTACATTGAGGGAACCAAATCATCTTAATAATAATTATATGTATTTGGAAGCACAGGAGTGAATTAGTATAACATACTAATTTTATACTTACCAGTATCTAGCACAAAGCTCATCATAATTAAGAGAATCAACAAATGCTTGCTTGCAAAATCTTTAAGGTAGAGATACCTAATTCATTCTCTTTGACTGCAACAGCAACATTATGCTCTTTTTTTTTAAATCTGGTAATGATTATTCCCAAAGCATTTTGATATATGCACTGTATGTTTGAATATATATGCTTAAGTGAGTTAAAAAACTTAGACATCATGCCAAAAAACACATACTTAGGTTAAAAATAATAAAATAATAAAAAACATGAAGTAAAAATTTTACAATCAGATCTCATTACATTGACGTAACTTCAAATATTTAAATAATACTATGCAACCAAAATTGTTCTAAATTACAGTTCAGAAAATCGTTTTTGAAAGTGGCTAATGCGGGCCCTCCCTGGTGGCGCAGCAGGTTAAAGCACAGCAGTAAGAAGCTAAAGTCACTTTAGCATGAGTTCGATTCCCACCAACCCCAGAGGTGATCCACATGGCATGGCAGACCTCTCCTGACCCACCTGCTGCTCCCCTTAGCAGTGATCTGCCTGTTCTGCTCCCTGCTCTGTGTGTGGAGAATCGTCTCACCATCCCTACACCTCTGGCCTGTACCCCAGTTCTGTATGCATAAATAAATAAATCTTTAAAGAAAAACAAAAGTGGCTAATGCACGTAACACTTTCAAGAAAATGATTATTCTCTATAATCTTAACTCACTGCACATGTCCACTAAATAGAAGTGAATGTTAATTTAAGAACTGACACTCATTAATCAAAACAACTACATTTAATCATCAAAAATATACTACACTTAGGGCCTCCCCAGTGGTGCAGGGGTTCAAGACACAGCCATATCAATCTGTTGCCAATGCTGGAACATGAGTTCAATGATCAGTGAGCTAAGTCACATGATGCAGGAGACCTCTCCTCTCTCTCCTGCTGCTCCCCTCAGAAGTGTATTTCAGTGGATCTGCCTGTCTTGCTCCCCACTGTCTCTGAATCCCCTTACCCATCCCCACACCTCTGGCCTACACTCTAGCTTTTGTATACATAAATGAATACATCTTCAAAAAATACTAAAGCTATATGTTATATGCATACTGTGGTCTAGTTTCATAACTGATTTGAAAGAATAAAAGCTATTCTTTTATTAAAATTTTTAAATGAGTATTTAAAAATATAAGCAGAGAACAGTTCAATGCATTTCACTTGGTCTTTTCATATTACTTACTTCTTGAATCTCTTTTTTTCATTTCTTGTGCTAAACCAATGTCAAAATGTGCACTGTTTGCATTCTCACACTGGTTAATTATCCTACAGACACATTCAGCAGCAAAAACTCTAGTAGCCCATCGGGGATTGGTAAAAGGATGGAATTTGTCATCACTCCTGGTTGTCAGAACTGAAGCATCATCCCCTTTATCTCCTTCCTCTTCTTGCATTGTATCCACACAAGTTACAATGGCAAAGTCTTTTGTCAAGGAAGAAAAAATGTAATTATAATAAATCGGAAGATATGTTTATAAAAGAACACAAATGATTTCAAATTTAGACTAATGTTAATCAATCATACATCTTTTAACATAAATAATCATGACTACTAATTATAGGTAACAGTGGTGTCTTAAAGAAAATAACTTTAGAGATACTCTGTATCAAAATGACTAAGTTCTTAAATTCTACTTAAAGTGAAAAACAGAACGTGATAGATACGGGGGTAATTATCATTTCCATGCATGTAGATGACTATCCTCAAGAAAAATCAAAAATCTCGGGCCCTCCCTGGTGGTGCAGAGGATTAAAGTGCAGCACTGCAAGCCAGCCACGCACAGCCACTTCAGTGTGAGTTTGATTCCTGGCTTTAGAGGTGACCCACATGGTGCAGCAGATCTCTTCTATCTCGTTCCTGCTCCCCTAGGCAGTGTATTTCATCTATCTGCCTGTTCTGTTCCCCACTGTCTCTGGTGAATCCTTTCATCGCCCCTGTACCTCTGGCCTGTACCCCAGTTTTGTATGCATAAATAAATCAATCTTTTTTAAAAATGAAAATTCTCTGTTGGAATTGTAATACAATGTTGTGGAGATTTTTTTACTTTATTTTTTTACATCCCTTCATTTTGTGCATTTTTTCATCTCAGTTGTAATCCCTGTGGTGATGTTTTTTAACATTGGGAGTAAGTGGATTTCCCACTGAAAAAGACTGCAAAATATTTTTCTGAGGATAGACCCACTGCTGTCATTTTAGTTGCAAGTTGTCTTTATGGGCCAAGACACTATGTGATGAATTACCATTTCATTATATCAACTGTCAACTTATTAGCAGTTTAACCTGACTCAAAGAATTGGTGCTCTAAAACTAACCTGTTTTGGGACCATCCTAGTGGTGCGAGGGGTTAAGTCTCAGCACTATCAAGCTACTGGTGGCTACTGCAGCATGAGTTTGATCCCTAGCTAGGGTACTAAACCAAACGGCACAGCAGATCTCTCCTGTTTCACTCGCTGCTCCCTTCAGCAGTGTATTTTAGTCACTCTGCCTGTTTTGCTCCCCACTCTTTCTCTGGTGAATCTTCTCACCACAGCACCCTGACCCAACCCCGCTTCCTCTGGCCTACCACGCCAGTTCTTGTATGTATAAATAAAATAAATATTTACAAATTAAACTATTTTTCTTAAATACCTTTGTGTATCTATTTTTTCCTCTATGTATTTACATATATAGTTTAAAAGTACATGAATTTTTAAAAAAAGATTTATTTATGCTTATAGAACTGGGGTACAGACCAGAGTATGGTGGGTGAGAGGATTCACCAGAGATAAGAGTGGGGAGCAGAACAGGCAAACTGACAAAGTACACTACTGAGGGGAGCAGCAGGCGGGTCAGGAGACATCCGCCCGTGCCATGTAGGTCAGCTCCCGGTGGGGGATCGAACTTGTGCTGCAGTGGCTTGGAGAACTTCATAATGCAGTGCTTTAACCCACTGCGCCAGCAGGGAGAGCCCCAAAAGTACATGTATTTTAACTTAGCTACTGAAATATAGTTGAAGGTTCGATTTTTAATCATGCAAGGTAAGGTTTGAATCCACATGTATATGTATCTTTGGGCAAGTTAGTTAGCCTTTCCAAGTCTTGTTTTTTCTTGTATGAAACAGAATACTGCCTATTCAATGGATGGTCAAAGTATTAAATAAGATAAAACATATAAAGAGTCCTACCTGGAATATAACTGATTTCTTTCTTTTTCCTCTCATTTATTTTTTCTCTTACTCCAAGGATACAGAGTTTAAGACTCTAACATGTCTTTAGTAATAATTACCTTGTACTAGCAAAGACAATGGGCTAACAGTATTTCCTAATACTACTTAAATTTAAGTGTGGAAAAACTGGTTATTTGGAAATTCATAACTGATGACTCTTTTTACTATGTTGATCTGAGGATATCCTTCCACTGTTTACTATATATATATATCTATGTACATAGATATATGTATGTGTATATAGATATATTATGTGTGTGTGCATATACACATATATACATATAAAGAAAGGTGCTACTATAAGGTAGTGTAAAAAATAACTACTTCTTAAGTTTATTCTGTAAAGTCATATAAAGAGAGAAAAAACAGGTCAAAGTGTTAGGTTTATATTATTCAAATAAAAGGTATTCTAAACATTAGAATTTTCAGTTGAAGAAAGCAACAAGAACTGGAACCCAAAATTTGAACAAGATATGAAATGTCACTGGTAAACAATTTTATATGTTTTATTTTTATTATTTCAAATGGCAATCATTGATAACTTACCAGCGGATGCAGCAAGTACATCTTTACACAGCTTTAGCCAAAAGGAGAGCTTATCCACTGCCATAGATGTGAGCATATGATTTAAAGTCTCTTTGATATCATGGCATAATCTCTGATCTGTCTCTTTGTCTAGTAAGGTCAATAAAGCCCCCTCAAGGCCCACTTCTCTGATGTTAGCATCTGACAAGAAGAAAATCGATGATCTAAGTAGTACAGAAAAGAAAACTGCCACATGAGAAGCACACACATTCAGTTCTTATTAAAGTATTATGTGCAAATTACACTTAAAGAACTAGTCCAAATACTGTGCTTTAACCTACAGAGGTCTACTTAGTTGACTATTAAAGTTCAGGATTATTTATGATACTGTACAGTGATTTTTTTTCTTATAATGTCACTGAAAGATAAATCTTTAATTAATCATTAATATAAACATTATTAATATTAAAATTTTCTCAATAACTTGAAAAGAAAATTGGTACTTCTATTTATTGCAGAACTATTTACAGCAGCTAAGATACTAAAATAACCCTAATGCCTACAAACATATATAAATGGATCAAAAAGATGTGGTATATACACAATGGAATACTACTCAACAATCAATAAAAGATAAACTCATGCCATTTGTGGCAACATGGATAAAGCTGGAAGGGATTATACTAAGCAAAATAAGTCACAAGGAGTAAGATAAATATAGGATGGTTTCACTTTTATGTGGAAGAGAAACTGAACAAAGAGTCAGGAAAAAGATAAAACTTTGAAGCTGACCACAGATCTGAGGCACACAGCAGGGGAGGGGATCAAAACAGGAGGGAAGAACACAAGAGACTATGGTGATGGATCTTAAGTGCTATGATGGTGGGAATACACAGGGAGTTCATCAGAGGGGAGAAATCAAATACAGTACAAAAATTAACAATGATGTGAAAAAATAATTTATTTTAAAAAAGAATTACTAATGTTTTCCTTAAGTCAGGTAAATTTTTTTATCCAATTAACTTTCAACATTTATAAAATTTAAATGACATTTTTTGTATGATTGTTTTGACCTTTAAAGTTAATTCTGAATAAATAATCACAAATTTTATTTTGCTATAAAAGCTTTAAATGTATTAACATGGGAGTGTGTGTGTGTGTGTGTATGAGTGTGAAAAAGGTAGTAAGTAGGTGAATCTGTGTTCACTGCACTATTTCTGTGGGTTTGCAAAATTAAAATATTAATTATACAAGTTCTTTACTGCAATTTACTCACATAGCTAGCTCACTATTCTGAAAACATGTACACACATCTAAACAATCACAGCATAATGCAACATATATAATTTCAGTGATGAAAATAAAACCAACAACACTTTTGGAAGGATAGTTTACATTCACTGTTAGGGATTAAATTTCAGTGATTAAGGTAAACAGTCACCAGAAAAGTTTTTAAATGAGTTCTGCAACATGTTTGATGATTACTACTCTAGAGAGAGATTGTCCCATCAGAGCACAAGTTTTAATATAATAACAAAACTGATTTTGTAATTTAAAGAGCTCAGCATGACAGTGAAACACATTATGGATCTCAAAGCTTTAAATACTGGAATGTTTGTGAAATTTGAGACCTGGTAAAAGTACTTGGACACTATAAACATGTAAGCATATTACCATTACTATTTGGAAACTTGTTAAAGTTACAAGCATGTGGATTACCCACATATTTTTAAAATGAAGGAATATATACTTAAAATAAAACTTACTGGCTAAGAAGTCCTTTAAATCAACTCTAATATATAGAAAAAGGGACATAAAAACTCTAACTTGATGCAGACCCATCAATAGCATATTTTATTAAGCAAGATTTCAATAGCAGATAGGTATATATAGTAACTATTTAAGGGCTAAAATCAAGTTCAACTGATGTGAAAAAACTTATTCTAAACCAATGGTTCTCAAACTTCATATAGGATATCAAAGGAATGATAAAATCACAGCACAGATTGCTCAGATTTCTGGTTTAGCAGTTTAGGGATGGGCCAATAATTTGCATTTCTAACAAGTTCCCAGGTGTGATGGATGGCAATCTAAGTTTGAGAACCACTGTCCTTAACAAGTAATGGCAATGGTTGGAATAAAAATTGTTAAGAGCTGTCTCACAGATTTGAGACATAGATCTTAAAATTATGTTTTAGACACTCATGTTTACATGGAACTGGATATAACACTGATAAAATTACCTAGAGCCAAGTCTTCTCTGTAATTCTTAGCAAGCATAATAGCATGTTCCGAAACTTCAGTTGCTTCTCTCTGCACAAGCTGACGCAAACAAGCCAGTACTGCTCTTCTTAGTAACAAATAAGGACTACAAAGATTTACCTGAAAAATACCATTTAGGGAATGAAAGAAGTAAAATTCTTGGTGGCGTACCATATCTCTAACGGACATTAAGTAGACCCTTCCTGCTGCCCAGCCCTTCAATCAGGCTAGTCACAACTTATTAAATACATAGAAACTTTGTTAAACTATCCTAGTATATATTTTGATTCTGTGACTTAGACATAGTGTAGGAGTGGTATGTGTACCAGATAATGCAATGTTTATTAACAATTCCAAGTAAAAGTCTCTTAACAGTGTTAGAAGATACAAAAATTTATGAGTGAAATAGTTTATGTACAGTTAAGAAAGAATTTATTTGCAGTTTATACATATGTGCTCATGCAGCTATATTATGTTTTAGAATTCTCTTAATAGAAATTTATACAAATTCACAGAGAAAACGTAGCATACAGGTTAAAATGGAGGCTCTGGAGTCAAACTGTCTCATTTTGAGTTCTAGATCTACCACTTACTGTGTGACATTGAGCAAATTATTTAACATCTCTGGTGCATTAATTTTCTCATTTGTAAAATAGCGGTAACAATATTCCAAACCTATAGAGCAGTTGTAAACTTAACATAAAGAAACATGCAAAGTGTTCATTAGCATTGTATAACACCTGGCAAACAGTAAGTGCTCAATAAATGTTAGTTTTGATTAATGTAATTTCTATTGATAGAATTGTATTCAGATACCATGAAGAATAAGTAAATGCATTTTAAACAAACATTTTATTAAAAGTTTTTACTCAGAAAATATATTCACCAAAAATATTCTCTAGAGACAAATAATATAGACAGCAAATTCTCTCTCTCTATATATCTATTTACATTTGGCTATATATGTATAGATATATATATATATATATATGTTAGAGATGTCCAGAATGACTCAAGGCTTCTGAATACAAATTCCTATTCTGTGATTTCATATGTAGAATGAAATCTAGAGCATTGAAACTTTTTTTTAAAAAGATTTATTTTTATTTATGCATACAAGAACAGGGGTCTAGGACAGAAGTGCAGGAGGTGAGAGGATTCACCAGGAACAGAGTGGGGAGCAGAACAGGTGGACTGGTGAAATACACTGGTCTGTTGAACCATGTGGGTCACCTCCCTAGCTTGCGATTGAACTACTGCAGTAGCTTCAAGGTGCTGAGACTCAGCCCCTTGCTCCATCAGGGAAGCCCTGAGTTTTGACATTTATTTTGTTTAAACTAAGAAAGTAAAAACTGTTTGGTATAGGTAATGCATAGGTGTCTTAAGGTAGGGATGTTCAAAGCAAATTTGAAATAATGGCAAAATTCTATAGTGATCATAAGAGTTGGTGAATGTAGGGAAACCAGAACTGATGTAGGTGAATTTGTTGAAAAGAGCAGAGGCTGAATTCTGAGAAAAAGAGTAGGCAGAGGGAGCTGGCTTTTAATATTCAAAGGGAGCTAAGTTTGAAATTTTATCACGGTAGGAGAATAAGTTTGTGAATGCATAATCAGTGAAATGTTTTGAATTAGAATGACTTCATAAAATTGTTCTATTATGCCCTCAAGCTATATCATGAACTTAAAAGTGGAAAGAGAAGAATGCCACCACCGGTAAGACTGAAGGTAATGCCATTCCTGTCATGCTGAAGAACTCTGTTGTTAGAAACTAGTACAGAGGATAACACAGAAGTTAAAAAACAAAAAGATTAAGTTTATTAATGTTCAAGATTAAGGCTGTTTTTAACAACTATGACAAAAAACACTCCGTAAGGCAATTTTAAGTAAAAGTTAATGCATCTGCTAGTTATTTTAACTAGAGTCTCACAAATAAATACCATAAGGCCAGGTGCAGCATTTATTCAAGCTGGTCAAACAATCTTTTAGAAAAAGCATGCTTGAAAATACTATTTACCTGCTTGATAGAAAAAAGACTCAAGATTGTCACACAAAGCAAAATGGGACACAATATTTCTATGTCATTCTCCAGCATTTATTGTGGGTAGCGGAATAGAGAGGATTAAGGCAAACAAACCAAGCAGGCAAAACACAAAAATTAAATAAAACTGTAATTACAATTCTTTTGTGAAGTAAATGTTAAATAAAATGACATAAAATTAAGTGCAAGGAATGAGTGCACCAGTTGGAGAAGGTTAGGGGGATTTGTTTACACTGGTATGAAATAAACACCATGTTACATGCTACACATACTGAACTTTGCAGGAATGATTAGCTTAGACAAAGAGATGCAAAGGAAAACAAGAACATCTACAACCAAAAAAAAAAAAAAAAAGTCACAAAAAACAGCACTGCAAACCTCAAAAAATTTAGAAATCAAGGGACGGGGACCTACCAACACAGAATTATCCAACAAGATCTCCTGCACAAAAACAAATGACAGACCGGTCATGACAAAAACAAAAGATAAATACTAGGATGACTTTGACAAGAGTCAGCTAAGTATTAAATATGAATGCTGATAGAGCTATCTTTCAAACTGGCTTAGCTTTAGCTTTAAAAATATACCATAAACATTACCCAACTTAAAATGAGTTGAAATTGGTGTGTCTAAGGAAAAAAATGAGTTGAGCTTTCGAACAAGAAAATCATCAATTCAAGATATAAAATATATCAGTATTTTTAAAAGGTATAGTTGTGTAATTAGGTTTTCTTTTGGAATCTGCCATTAAGCCTCAGTAACAAAACCAGATAAAACAGACACAGGTGTGCGAGAGGTAACTGGGACAGTATTCACATGAATAGGTGCCCAGAAAGGGACAAAGTTAATGGTTTACCTTATCATAGTTAATTATAGATTATTTTCACCCTTGGAAGCCAAGTTTTAAAACTGAACTGTACTCAGAATTGCTAGTGTTGCTAAAGCCAAGTTCAAAATGGAAGTTAAATAGCATGCAGTTAGAAGATAAATTTAATAAAATTCTTTCCTTATGATAAAATGTTTTCTAAATATTGTGGGAATTTCAACTAATATGAAAGCATTTGATATAAATAGTAAAATTCTTTGTAGAAAAAAAAACTTATCATAAAGATGTTAAATAGGAAAACAGAAACAATTTCCTCGTAACAGAGTATATGCAAATATAATACACTGAATCTAGCAAATTTAAAATACAAGTCTTACCAAAATATTAAGATACAAAATTAACAGACCATGATAACAATTTTTAAATATGGTTTTGTATAAGAAATATCATTTTACAGTTTAACCATTTATGAATAACATGAGTAAGATTTGTAACTATTAATAAGATTTTCTTAATTGCTCTAAATGTTCCTAAGGAAAAATGTGATAATAGCCTTCAGTCTTTTTTATGTTAATCTTTCAATATAGGAAAATTAAAGAGTAGTGAGTTTGAGCAAATCGAATTCATCATGAATTGGCAGTCTTCTTTCTCAGTAAATTCTACTTAATAAATGAATTCATATTATCAATTAAGGGCAAAATCTTAAAAGGCTATTAAATGGAAATTACTATTACAATTCAAGAAGAGAAAATGACAGTATTACTATATTTAAATGGAGAATGAAAAGGGGGTATTTTTGAGTAATTGGTTTTGACAGTGGTTCCTCAAATATAAAGAATAATATTCCTGGAAAAAAGCTATTGGGTGGTAAAGGTAAAATCCTTTTTCAGTAGTTCTACATACATATTTAGTCTGTTTTGAAACAAGACAGGAAGCAAACTTCCTTTGAGAAAAACCAGCTACATTTCCTTTTCAAGAGAACTGCATGACTTAGCAAAACCCATATAAAGATTAAAATAACCAGAATTTAAGTTACATATTAAGAAAATAAAATGATTAGTTCTTGAGTACCTAGGACATGTACCTACACACACATCCGTATAGTCATGTCTTATACTCAAATTAACTGAGGCTAGAAGAGGTTATGGCTACAAGGTAGAAGAGGTAAGAGCCACCTATAATTACAAAGGCTTTAGGACAAAAACCTAGACTCTATTAGAACATCACTAATGTGTTACCCTGGGCAAATTATTTGGCTTTCTAATCCAGTTTATCTTTTCATTGAGCATGCCAGATTAAATAAATTTTGAGATTCTTTCATGGCCTGAACTGCTACTTACTTTGCCTCAACCTTAAAAATGAAAATCTGTATAAAGTAATGATTCACAATGGTTATATTACTAAATGGGAATGTGCTGGGAATGTTGCTGGGACAAAAAACATTGAAATGCAATGATGCCAAGTTTTAATTTCAGATGTCAATCGGCTTTTGAGGGAAGTCCAAATAGACATTAATGATAATCAAGGTAAATCTTAAAACCTCTGATGACTAGACTACTTCATCAGAATTTTTAGTTCACTGCCTTTATTTTAGTTAAAGACTTATTTATTTATGTATACAGAACTGGGGTACAGGCCAGAGGTGCAGGGGTGGTGAGAGGATTTACCAAAGACAGAGTGGGGCAACAGAACAGGCCAATTGATGAAGTATACTGCTGAGGGGAGCAGTGGGTAGGTCAGGAAAGGTCTGCGGCACCATGTGGGTCACCTCCGGGTCGGAGACTGAACTCATGCTCAAGTGGCTTTAGCTTCTTAGTGCTGTGCTTTAACCCGCTGTGCCACCAGGGAGGGCCCTGTTGCCTTTATTTTTTTATATTCATTATTATAATCAGATACACAGGCATCTACTGCTATAATATTAAGGAAAAATGTTATTTACTCATCTAGGATGGAAGAAGCTTTACAAGGGATGATATGGAATTAAAAAAAAAAAAGTCTAACTATAACTTTTCCATACCCTATATGGCATTTGTATAGTATTTGGGACATTAAGTTTACTAACAGGTATTACAAATTTAAGCTCAATATTGATGAGAAATGAAAAAATGTAAGATTTAGATGAAAATTGTTCCCCAACCACCAAGAAAAGATAAACTGAGGGAAAACAGTTACTGCACTTAGCCGACAGAATATTAAAATAAACCTAAGTTTTCAATAAAAGAAACTAAGGACTCATTTATAATTTTATACTTACACAGAGGCAGCTGACGAGGCTAGACAAGTTGACATGTCTTGGAGCAAACATATGAAGCTGCTGAAGGCAAGAGATGGCCTGAGCTTGAACAAGGCAGTCTGAGTTATCTTGCATTACTGCACAACCCAATAGACAAGAAGTCCTTAAGGTAGAAACTGAAGTACTGTTACCTAAAATAAAAGTAGAAAACTTTTTCATAATTGGTCTAAAAAACTGCTGTTTAAACACATAAGTATTGAGTTTAAAATATTTTTTGAATATTAAACTTAAAAATCAATAAATTTCTGAGCCTCTCTGGTGGTGCAGGGGTTAACATATCAGCATTATCACCTATCCAGCCAGCCACCTTGGCCTGAGTTCCTGCTCCTCTCTGCAGTGTATTTCAGTAGTGCTACCAGTGGTGCTCCCCACTCTGTCTGTGGTGAATTCTCTCACCCTTCCCTACCTCACACCACCTCTGGCTAACAACTCAGTTCTTGCATGCATGCATGCATGTACAAATAAATCTTAAAAAAACAGAATCAGTAAATTTCTTCCACAAAAGCAGGAATAATCCAGGTGACAGACTTTTAATTTTTTTTTAAAGATTTATTTATTTGTGCATACAGACAGAACTGGGGTACAGGTCAGAGGCTCAGGGGCGGCGAGAGGCTTCTCAGAGATAGTGGGGAGCAGAACAGGCAGATGGAAGAGGTACACTGCTGAGGGGGGCAGTGGGCGGGTCAGGAGAGGTCTGCCACGCCATGTGGTCACCTCTGCGGCAGGCGGGAATCGAACTCATGCAGAAGTGGCTTTAGCTTCTTAGTGCTGTGCTTTAACCTGCTGAGCCACCAGGCAGGGCCCTAGATAATTATTTTTAATCTGAAAGTTTTAAGGCAACACAGGTGACTAGGGAAAAAAGAACTGAAGATTCTGTGTGCTATGCTAAATTTTCAAGAAAAGTGGAGTTAGAAATTCCTAACAGGGCCTTCCTGGGTGGTGCAAAGGGTTAAAGTGCAGCACTGAAAAGCTAGTTGCAGCCCTACAGTGCCCCTTCAGTGCCAGTTAGGTTCCCACATCCCCACCAGGGATGGTGTAGCAGACCTCTCCTGTCTTACCCACTGCTCCCCTCAGCAGTGTACTTTGTCAGTTGTCCTGTTCCTCTCTCCACTCTGTCTCTGGTGAACTGTCTCACCACCCTTGCACCTCTGACCTGTACCCTAGTTCTGTATGCATAAATAAATAAATCTTAAAAACAAAAATCCTAACAAACTTACTATTAGTTGAGAGCTTTGTTTATATATCAAAATCATGTTTTCTGCATTTCAATAGGGCAGAATATTTATGTTTTTAGAGTCAATCACCTATTTCTTTAAAAGGGTCAAAGTTCTTTAAAATATTCCACTTCATGCCTGTCATTTACAGAGAACTATTTTTTATGGTAAAATGAATCAGACTAAGTGGCATCTAACAAAATAGTGAGCAGGCTTTTTTTTAAAAAATAGTGAGCAGCTTAGTGAGATAAGCCAGAAAGAGAAAGAAAAATACCAGATGGTTTCACTCATAGCAGGAGTATAATAGACCAGGCAAGAAAATAACAAGAATAATGAACAACCATATACCAGAGACATTTTGTGGGGGTGGAGTGGGGGATGGGATAAAATACGGGGGTGGAGGGGTGGGAAGGGAAGTGCACAGGATTATGGTGATGGCATATGGGTGACTTGATGATGGGAAACCCATGGGGATTACAATTGAGATGGAAAAAAAAATGTACAAAATGATGTAAAAATAAACTGTTATAAAAAAAAAAAATAGTGAGCAGCTTTTAACTTCTCCCTCTTTTGTCAGAGGAGGAGACCAAGGTCAGGAACTTAAAACCTTTTTTCCCAAGGTCACATAGTTAAGTGGCTTTTAAGTTTAGACTAAATTCTTAGTTCCTGTTTTATTCTATTATGTCATTATCCAGAAATCAAAATCTCCATGAGACCACTCTCAACATATTACCCATGTATTTGAATAGAATATTTTGTTCAACTTCACTTCACTGACAAATAATTCCCTCAGTAATAAGAACTGCATTTGTTTTCATCTGTCTATTATTAATGTGAAACATCACAAAAGCAGATATGCATACCTTGTAGCTCTGGACCCAATGTAGTAATGAGGGCATTCAAACAGCGACCAAGACTTTGGTGAACTTCAGCATGAGTAGGAGGTACATTTAACAACAACTTTATAATAAGAGAAAGGGTAAGTTCCACGTGTGTATAGTAAAGTGGGCCAGCAGAATCAATTATCAATGATAGAGAATGTAGTGCCCAGGTCTGTGAAGACATAAAACAATTTTTTGAAATACCAAAAAAATGGCATTAAAATATATACATTAAATTCTTTTTTTGAGGAAATGAAAAGATATGTATCTTCCATTACTAATTTGGAAAGAGAAATGGAAAACTGTAGTTTAGGAAAATTTCTCTGTTTAAATACCTCCTGATGAACCAGAGACACCATCTAATTTAGAATGGTATATTTAGATATCTCAACAGTAAGAATTCTGAGATGTTTGGTTCTTTAGTTAACAGCTTGAAAGAATTTAGTTAGCTGAAAACTGTTTATTGTATAATCTGTAGAATTTTAAGATTCAATAAAATCTACACCTACATGTAATACACACAAATCTCAAACATGATGCTAAAGAGAAGTCATACATAAAAGAGTGCATATAACATGATCTTCTTACTGATATAAAGTCTAACACACGCAAACCAAATTTGTGCTGTTGCAAATTAGAATAGTTATGTTCGGTGAGACTAGAATATGAACATGTTCAGAATATTAATAATGTTCTGTTTCTTGAAGTGCTTATAATGTGTATTTACTTTGTATACTTTATTCAGAGATGCATGCTTAAGACAGGTACAATTATAGAACTTATTTCTAAAGTAAATATGCATTTTTAATAGAAATCATTCTCTATTTTATATTAAACAAACAAAGCAGCTTTGAGCTAAATCTGGCCTTCCTAAATAAAATTTTATCAGAATATACCATGCCTATTTGCTAATGTATTGTTTATGGTTTCTTTCCAACTATAATGGCAAAACTGACCAGTTGTCAGATACTATTATTTGGTCCTTCAGAGTAAGTTTCTCAGTTCTGTATAAATGAAACAGGGGCTGGCTATATGCATATAACCACTGAGTTGGATGGTGAATATACTAAGTTCCTAGTAGTATACTCTCTACTTTTATGTATGTTAGAAGTTTCTGTAACTAAAGTATACAAAAATTCTCCCTTTAGGAAATCAACTGAGAAAGTTTTATGCCTCTTATCAGCAGATGTGTAAGAAGACTTATTTACTTTAAATGCTACAAAAATAAAATCTTATCTGTTAGGTAAAAGATAGCAGCAATCAAGATGAATCAAATTTATCAGCACTGGACGCCATGAAAAAAACACTAAAATTAATCAACAAAAAAAGGTATTCAATATGAAAACATTATGTTCAGATTAGAGTTCTTGAAGGGGAAAAAGATGAACAAAGTGCAAAAATTACAGGCATTTAAAAAATGAGAGAATTGAAGACCTTACAAGTCAATTCAAATACTAGAAGGTATGAGTACTAGCAAATCAAAGGAACAAAGCTAACTATTGATTAGGAATCTTGAAATTTGACAACAATGTGGTTAAAATTGGATCTCAAGATACTAATAAATCTGGATTATCAAGTAGGACTAGAAAAAGAGAAAAAAATAGGAAAAATATAAATGGTGACATGAGAATCACATACATGGAAGCAAAGTCAATAGATCTATTGAAGGTGGCCAGTACTTTGGGATAATAACAAAAATGATTCCTGGGTCAGTTGATGGGACTTAAGTAAGCAGCTCACTGAAGAAGCATTAAGAGATCTGTCCAGCTTTTCAAAGAGACAAGATGGAGGTCTTCCAGAGAAACAAATTTGGCCTCATATCTGGAGACAGCAGACATACTTACAGGCAGACTGATGTCAGGAGAATGATGATTATGATGAAATGGGTAAGATATATACAATAATGTGGTATAGTGGCTAAGAACATGGGTTTAGACTCCATGATTTGATTCCGGGACTTACTAGCTTTTTAGTTACACACAAGTTACTTAGCTTCTATAAGCTTGAGTTTTTAAGCCTCTGTATAATGGAAATATATACCCTAGATTACTGTAAGTACTAAACATGCTAATTTGTTTAGAATTAATAATTTATCTGCTACTTACTAAGCTCTCCAAAGGAGATCCATTTTCAAAAAAAATATTACACTTGACTCCCGACACTTTGAGTGTGAAATAAAGACAGTGAAATCTTGTACTTAAAAAAATCTATCAACATTAACAATAGATCTGACATTTATTATGGAGGGTGAATTATTTCTAAATTATTACTGGCCAATAAAAACATAATCTTTAATTATGAATTTCAAGGAAGATCTCTTGATCTTACCTTGCACATCTGGACTTACCTGCACATCTGGAGAAGTGCTGTCCTGAGACAAAGTATATAGAATTCCAACACAAGAACTCAAATGTTGAGAGGAACTTATTCCTCCTAAATACCTATGTAAGGATCCTAAAGCTAGTGAGTGTCCTGTTCTGGTAACCACATCCCTTGCTGATTTCAGTCTGTAATTAACGGAAATAAAAATGATAATCACTGAAGCAAGACTAATGCATTTACATTGTGTATATGTAAAATTTTCTGCATGAATAATTGCAAAATCTACAAATAAACTTACTGTTAATTGAAATAATCTTAAAGGTATCTTGAAAGGAAAAACACTTTAGGTGTCTTCACATTACCAATTATTATTTCAATATGAACAATTTGATGTCTTTCAGATATACAAACTGAATTTATATGACAGGTATTACTATTTTAAGTTACATTTAAAAAAATTATATTGCGGAGGTACTTTAGTTCCATATAAAAAGGGCTTAATTCAGTAACTAATATTTTTATGTATTGGGTTAATTTAAGCACAATGACCTTGAGGTTCATGCTTTCAGTTCTTTCCTAACAGATTAAGAAACAAAACAGCTAAAAATCTTTCACAAAGTACCCTCCTAATAAATTGAAGAGTTGGGTTTTGAACCAAGTTAGAAATTTAGTTCCAGACTTCAGGTTCTTAACCAAATCAGATACATAGGCTAGAAGATAAAAGTGCTATCTGCATTACTATCACCATGAAAATAACTTTCTATATAACTCATATGACCATGTACTTTTATATATTGTTTTATTTTTTCACATTTATGACCTCTAACTTAATGTTCAAGGAGGTAGGGCAGTATTAACAATCTCTTATTTGAAAGGACAGACCAGCTGAAGACTAAATAATTTTCTCAAGATCACAGAACTGGTAGAAATAAAAATACAGTTAATGTTTCCTGATCTGTAGACTACGGTGTTTTCTTTCCCAATGAATTGTTGTTATGCGCTATCATCTATGCTTTAGATGATAAAGCTCCTTAAATGTCTCTCCATGTGAGTGCCATTCCAATCATATAATGTGATCTTGCTCCCATCATATAACTAAAGTCTGAGTAGTAATATAGTTTTATGCTCTAAGATAAGCAGGTCAAGGAGGAAATCACCTTTATTTTAAAATAATCACATCTGTCTTTTTTTTTTTTTTAAAGTTTATTTCAGAGTGAACAAACCAACAAATTCTGACCTAGCCATCAGTATTAAGTAAGAAATTCACTTACTTGTCAAAACTAATTTGTGCTAATGAAGCGGTAAAAGTTCCATCATCAACCACTTGGGCTAATCGAGCCCATGCCTCTGCAGCTGCACATCTCAACAAGGGGTTGGGACTTTCTAAAGCTCCCACCACTAATGCTAGAGTAGGTCTTCTCATTTCTTCTGGACCCAAATTTCTCTTGGAACCAGCCACATACTGAAATATGTGAAAAAAACAAACAAACAAACAAAAAAAACCAAAAAACCAATCTTATAATAGTAATTTTTTAAAATCCAGTTTGGAATGTATATTCTGGCTAAGCAAATGTGTTCATACATGGATTACTACTTAAACAAGAACACAGAAATTCACAGTAAACACTTTTTTTCTCACAAAATAATTAAGCATTTTAACATACTAGGGAACCACATGATAATCTATTATTAACATTGCAATACGCAGGTGTTCAGCAGAGCATTAGTCAAGATGTCCATATAATAAATGACCAATGACCACAACAAGTCATAAATGCAACAAGTTAGATTTGTTCCATGGGCGTTAGTCTACTAAGCCTTCATGTTGTATGTAAGGATCCGTAAGTTAAAGCACAGCTCTAAACAGAAGTGAAGGTTTGATTTCTGAATAACAAATTTTATGAGGAAAAGGAGAAATCCAAATTCTGAAACATTTTCATGCAGACATTAAAAAAAAAAAGCAACAGCCCTTTAAAAATATCTTTCTCCAACCTGCTTAGTTGAGAATCTATGACAAAATTTAAAAAACAAACATACGAATTTTGGAAAAGAAAAGCAAACAGAATTACCTTCAAGAAACTAGATACTGACGAAACAACATATAACTGAATTACTTGCTGACGAGTTCCTTTTGCATGCTTTATACTGTCCAGAAGTTGTTCCAATGTGAGAAGCCTAACATCAGAAACAATGATATTTTAAAGTAAATAAACAAGTCAGTGAATCTGTTTACAGAGTAAGTCAAAGGACAGTATTGAGCATCTGCTAATTTGCTTGGCTGCATCATTTTGTTGGAACTACTAACACAAGATAAATTATTGTTGAACACAAAAAAGTATCTTAGAAAAATGTATCATGACCTACACAAAATATTATGTGGGGAAGAAACACTATTTTGTAGACAATATAACAACAAACATACTTAATAAAGATTTACCTGGGAAAATTCTCAATGACTATTTTAAACAAAGCATATCTAAAAGTTTGTCTCTGTATCACATTTCAGATAATTTTTATTTTTTGCTAATTTGTTTTTTAAAGATTTATTTATTTATGCATACAAAACTGGTGTACAGGCCAGAGATACAGGGGTAAGGAGAGGATTCACCAGAAGACAGAGTGGGTAGAACAGGCAGATCGACAAAGTACACTGTTGAGGGGAGCAGTGGGCGGGTAAGGAGAGGTCTGCAGCGTCATGTGGGTCAGCTCCAGGGTGGAGACAGAACTCATGCTGAAGTAGTTTAGCTTCTCAGTGCTGTGCTTTAACCCGCTGTGCCACCAGGGAGGGCTCATTTTTTTATAATTTTCATAACACCCAAAGACTTAACTAGACAAAATGATATAATATCAATAGCTTTGATCCATGAGAGAGCGAGAATGAGAATAAATATGAATGTGGATAGTAATAATCTGTAAACTGTTAACCAGAATAGCTATGAGGGAGATTCACTACCCATTTAGAATTTCAGATGAAAATAGAACTTCCTGAATCATGGATATAGGTAGTATATTTTGATCTCCAATCAACATACTATCAACTACCAAATTAAAAAACTGACACTCTTGGGGCTTTCCTGGTGGCACAGGGGTTAAAGCACAGCACTATGAAGCTACCTATAACCACTGCAGGATGAGTTTGGTCCCCGGCCAGGGAGGTGACCCACATGGCGTAGCAGACCTCTTCTGTCTAGCCCACTGTGCCCCTCTGCAGTATGTTTCAGTCCATCCTCTCTTCTGTTCCCCATTCTGTCTCTGGTCAATCCTCTTACCCCACACCTCTGGCTTGTACCCCAGCTCTTGTATACACAAATAAATCTTAGAAAAAAAAAAAAAACAGAAAACCCAATACTCTTAACTTCTAATGGCACCACAAAGCTTCCAAGGTAAGAAAGTCTTTAAGAATTAATTAAAAAAAAAAAAAAAACAAGTATTTTTCTTTTAATAATGCCTCTAAATTAAATTCGCTGTGTCATTAATGACCTTTACATTTGTATATAAGCTAACTATGGGTGAAATATTATGTCTCACCAGCCTAGCAGTTTCCAGTTTAACTATTAATTTAATATTCTTTTTAGATACTAAAGACATTAGGTAAATAATGTCTTTATCTTGCCTAACCTGTCACCTATTAGAAATCTTTTATATTAATGAGACCCCTGGCAACATTCTTCTTTACCAAAGTTTCTATTATGCATTCCTCAAACCAATTACTAATCCAAGATATGTTAACTATTGAAGCAATTTACCTTTGAGTTTCTCCCACATGAGCACATACAATTCCAAAGAGCTTGACTGCAGAGCTAATAACCGACAACATTGGGGGCAAGGGCTTAGGCACTGAATCTCCCTCTACATCCTTCTCATAAATAGAATAAGGGTCATACTCGAGACTTCCACAAGTAACACCATTACCAAGCAGGAGCTTAAGGGGTAAAAAAAATTATATGTAAGATTTTAAAACCACTATTCACAGATTAAACTAAAGAGTTATTGAAAAGTGACCATACCTGTTCTTCAATAAATCTATGGTCCGTCTCTTGTAACAAAGGACTTAATATCATAAGATCATCCTGATGACAGAGGGATGGAAGCAAAAATGTGGATGCTACCACCTGTGTATCAGTGGTGGTCAAGTCAGCAGCCAATTCTTTGAGGACAGTGCATAGGTTTCCTGTTGAGTCAGAGAAAAATAGTACATTAGTAGCGATGAACTGGTAGAGTCTGAGTGGTAGAGTCTGAGAGCAGAAGAGTCCAGGCTGAGCCTTCATCTACACACTAGAAAACTTAAATCTATCATGGGTAAGATTATATATCCCCTCCTTGAAAAATGCCATAGAATGAGTGACTTAACTCTGTGCTGTCTGTGAGAAGACTAAGAATACAAACTGAAAAGAGAACTCAAAGTATGGGTGTGAGGAGTGTGTACCTTATGATACTGAGTAAAAACTATTATTAGAAAAGACATGAAGTGTAAAAAAGATACATAACTAAAAAGGCAGACAAATAATTTACTTAAAAACTAGAGACTGAAAAACATTTATATTAGCTATGTATTTATTTTGGGAAGTCTTTAAACGTGTATCAAAGTATAATATAATAGTATTAATGACTTCCCAACTTCCCCTGCATATGCTCATCATTCATTTTGACAAGCTTGATTAGTCTGTTTTACTTATACCTCCATTATTTAACCAACCCCCATATTACTTTGAAGCAAGTTCCATATAACATAATTTCATCTATTAATATTTGTATACCACTAAAGTTAAGGACATTTTAAAGACAATCCCTGATCATAAGATCATGTTTTACTAAACCTCAAATATCCACTCATTATTCAGTTTCTTAATTTTTTTTCAAAGATTTATTTATGCATACAAAAACTGGGGTATAGGCCAGAGGTGTGGGAAGTGAGAGGATTCACCAGAGACAGACTGGGGAACTGAATGAGTGGACTGATTGAAACATACTGCTGAGGGGAACAGCAGGCAGGACAGGAGAGGTCACCATGTGTGGGGTCACCTCCATGGTTGGGGATTGAACTGTTGCTGCAGTGCCTGTGAATAGCTTCATAATGCTGTGCCACCAGGGAGTGCCCCTTTCTTAAATACTTCATAAAATAGCTGTTATTTACATTTGCCACATATATTGACAGGAGATCTAAGTAGATTCTACATGTTACAGTTAGCTGATATATCACTAAGTCTCTTTCAATCTAAAGAAGTTTCCAATCAATGGAAGTTTCTACATTCTGGATTTTTATTAACATGATATAGTTTATTCCTCTATCATCTGATTTTTTTTTAAAATGGTAGTTGGATCCTGAATAGACCAATTTTTTGTTTATATTTTGTGTGACAATCTGGCTAATAGGCTGCATTGTGATTTTCTATAGGATGAGACAATGTATAGTTGCCTCTCTTTCCAACTGTAACACTGGCCTAAATTATTATTTGAAAGATTTTAATCCTCATTTCCAATGGTTTATCAACACAATTTTTCTTCCATGTAGAGCTTTAGTGGTTTTGGTAATATGTTACTTAGGTACTTAGGTATGAGTAAAAATCACCTTAAAGAAACATTAATTTTTAAAGTATTTCTCTGGCCAATAACATAAGGATGAAATTAAGGCTGGCATGATGTTCACTTATTAGAAATGACAGGATAATTTAGGGAGGGCTCCCCTGCCATCATAAGTAACAGTTAAAGAAAAAATATTTATTGAGTAATTGTCAGCAGAAGTTATAATAATCTTATTATGCTTGCCTGAGAATAATCAAGAATGAAAAATATATGGAAGTGCCCATGGGACACAATTTTGAACTTTTACCTCTTAAAACAAGCATCTTGAGGGCCCTCCCTGGTGGTACAGGGGTTAGGACACTGCACTGCAAGCTGGTCACAGCCGCTTCAGTGCAAGCTCAATCCCCGACCCCTGAGGTGACCCACATGGCGCAGCAGACCCCTCCTGATCGCCCGCTGTTCCCCTCAGCCTGTTCTGCTCCCCACTCTGTCTCTGGTGAATCCTCTCGCTGCCCCTATACCTCTGGCCTGTACCCCAGTTCTGTATAAATAAATGTTAAAAAAACCCAAACATCTTGAATTATTCATAGTAACAGTAGTATTTTCCTAAAAATTTACAAGAAAGATTTTATTAACTTTAAAACAGGAACAAGTTTATTTACCAAGTGCAGGATTTCACTAACCCAAAGTCACTTCAGAGCCAAAACTTAATTGTAAGTCTTTTTTTTTTTTTAAAGATTTATTTATTTATGCATACAGAACTGGGGTACAGAGGAGAAGGGGCAGTGAGAGGATTCACCAAAGACAGAGTGGGGAGCTGAACAGGCCGACTTATGAAGTACACTGCTGAGGGGAGCAGCAGGCAGGTTAGGAGAGGTCTGCATGCAAGTGGTCACCTCCTGGGATGGGGATCGAACTCATGCTGAAGTGGCTTTAGCTTCTTAGTGCTGTGCTTTAACCTGCTGCGCCACCAGGGAGGGCCAACATTGTAAATCTTATAAAATCTGTACACCAGAATAGATGAATATTCAATTCCTACCTGGCAAGAGTTAAGAATGGAATAATGGAACAGAATGTACATAATAATAATCACTCCAGAAAAACACTAGACAAAATATACTGATAAAACCCTGGAGAATTAGGGCAAAAATTTTGTGACTCATTCTTTCTAAGACAGTAAGACAGCAGAACTAGGGATTCTGTTTTCCCAGAAGAGAAGCAAGATATGTAGCAGTAACACAGCTCTAAATAACTGGCACTTCATTCACCATTCATTCATTCACATGTTTATTACTTTTCAGATACTGCATTAGCTATAAATAGGCAAATATTATGGTCTAAGGCACATACCTTCATAGGTTTCAGGAGGTAATAAAATTAAAAGTTCATAAAGTCTTTGTCTATAAACTACTGATGGCATTCTCAAAGGACTTCCGTATGTTTTTAATATTGAAGAAAGCCTTCAAACAAAAGGGAAAGTATATCTTAATTGTGTATGTTATTTAACAATCTAAAAATATTAAACCAGTTGATTTATCAATACAAATTAGCTATATATATTATTAATGAAAGTTAGTGATGCTTTTAATTATTTAATAACTTGTGATTATAAATTTCGTAAGGATTATGAGTGCCACACATGGAAGTCATTCTGCTATTTTTCCTATTACACTTGGTAATACACAACTATAAATCTAGCTCAGATTTCAAAGATCATATGTATTTTGATTAGAAATGGAAACCAATTTCTAAAATTTACAGGTCGAAGTTTATAAGCTCAAAAGTCTAGAATGTAAAAAATAAGCCAAAACAGTTAACAAACAAGAAATAAAAATAAAGAAAAATCTAAGTCTGTCAGAAACTTGATTTGGAATGTCATCAACAAAAAAAGCAAAATCAAAGAACAAATTCTCTTTCAATAAAGCACAAGCTGAACCATACTTTTTTGAAAGTTCCATTCAAAAGATCTTTTTAGCTTTTTTTTTTTTTAATATTCTTTCTTTATTTTCATGTTCTCTTTAAAGGTCAAAAGTACAAAATAATACACACAAGTCTTAGGAAAACAAAAGGCCACTGAAGAAATAAGAAAATGAAAGGGGAACTCATACAACAGAAATAGGAAGACATCAAAGTATAAAAGAGAAAAAATCAAAAGAAAGACAAACTAAAAATCCAGAAAAAATCCAAAACAAAATGCTAAAAATATTTTGATAATTATTTTAAATATTATTGGGTTATAATTCACCAATTAAAAGATACAGAGTAGCTGAACAGGCCAGAATACAAAATGTAACTTATTGCTATCTACAGGAAACTCATCTTTTAGATCTATAGACAAAAAATAGACTTAAAATAAAAAGTTGGCAGATATTTTACAAGCAAGTGACAATTAACTGAAAAAGACAATGCAGCCACACTTAGATGAAATAAAAAGGATACTATCATATATTAACTAAGGGGTTAACACAGAAAATTATCACATATATATGTACTAAATAATGATCACTAAAACAACTCCATGAAATTTCAAAATACTTAGAATTGAGAAAATATGAACAGTACATACTAACATTTTCAGCATCTCGAACTTTGAGGGAATATATAATCTTAGCTTAAATTAGGAGAACTAAGATAAATTCAATGAACTAATTATTCAAATTAAGGGGTTAGAAAAAGAACAAGAACTCAAGAAAGCAGAAAGAAGATAATAATTAATGAAACAGAAAAATTCAACCAAAGCAGTTATTCTCTGCAGATTAATAAAGTAGATGCATCCTAATGAAATGAAACAGGAAAAACAAAAGAAAGGCATAATGAAAACTCATCAGAGATGGAGTAGGGTTTACAAGTAAAGCAGAGATTTTTTAAAAGAGTAAGAATAAAAAACACTGGAAAGGGAACTGGGGAAAAATTCTTGGAAAAAACTTTCCAGATTTGATTTAAACAAAGAAATAAAACCAACCTTCCAAAACTAGACCACCAATACTCAAAAACAACTAAAGAAATGGAATGTATGTAGCTAGAAAAAATATGACCAGAAAGAAAATACCTGGTCAGACAGACAGCTAGTTGCTAACACAATTTCATGAGACAGTTTTCCATTTTTACACATTTCTCCACAGAACTTGATGAAACATTCACCTAGTTCATTCTGTAAGGCTAGTAAAATTTTGATGAAAATATGGCAAGGGCAGTGCAAGAAAATTAAAGGAAGTGGATCAAAGGATAGTCACATATACTATTTGTAGACATATCAAAGAATTTTGGAAAATAATACAATTTTTTTGATAGGAGGGTCAATATTCTATTGTATTTTCACATAATATACTGAAATCAAAATAAAAAAATGTACACATAGATGAAGGTTAGAAATACAATGCCAAGTAAAGAAGTAAGTTTCACAAGCAGTATACCATTTGCCTAATAAAAACCAAACAATGTCATATTTAGAGAAACAGATATATGTAACACTACCCTACTTAAAAACATAAGGGAATGATAGCTATTAAATTCAAGATAGTAACAACATCTAAAAGAAGGTAGATAGAATACTCCTAAAGAGGAACACATGGATAACTTCAACAATATTATTAATATTTTAGTTCAGGAGTACCTTAATCTGGACCATTTTTTGTTTTTTAAATATTTATATATTTATATATATTTTTATTTTGAAATTATAAAAGAAAAATGTGGAACACAGCACCATCATTTATTTACAGATTCTCTACGACTGCTGTTGAGCTACAACAACTTACAGGAGTATGTGCAGCAGAGACTGTATGGCCTACAAAACCTAAAATATTTATTTTATCTGGTCCTTCACTACAAATATTTACTAATCTCTCTTCTAGTTGTCAATAAGTGTTTATCATATTTTATAAGACAAGTCCTAAATATAGTTTTCTGTATATGTAAAATGGTATGTCATTATATATTTTTAAAAAATATTTTCTCTAAATAATACATTTTATTAACTTGGAAATTGTAAGCCCTAGTGACATGTATTTGCTTTTTCCTGTCATCTCATATATGTATAAATAAAATGTATTATAAAATATAAACAAAAACTGAAACTTTTTAACAAGCATCTGGTTCTTATGAACACAGAACAGTACAGACAAACCAATGAATAGCATACCTGAAAAGGTTCACAGGTTTAATATTTAATTTCTTGGTTAAGTCTGACTGTATTGAAGTAACTTTCCTTCCCTTTCAGTATATATTTTCTTTCAAGATCTTAGAGTACACAAGAAGTCACAAAACTGTTTCCCTTTCTCTGCAAAAGGAAAATTATTCACTACCAACAGAAATGCAGCCTACTGTTAATACACTTTAAAATGTATTACAATATCAGAGGATAATTGAGTGCTATTATAAAATTTTATCAAATTGAAATAGTGGACCCTTACCGGGTTAGCAAATCCACAGCACAAGGAAGTGGTGGAAGAAGATGCTGAATTACTTCTTCAGTAAGGAGATCACCACAATGGGAAACAAAGCTCTTGATAGCTGGAGGAAAAAAACAAACAGATTTTACTAAGTAGAGTGTAATGCACCAAGGAAAAAGGTCAATAAAGGTACAGTATTTGCATAATATATTTTATTGGAGGAATAAAGAAATGTACTAAAATAGAGAAATTCTTGATACTGTAACGAGAGAGCTAGTGTTTTATACATCTATAAAAAAAATAATTAAAAACACTTCCTAGGCTAAAAGAGACCAACAATCAAGCTAATACAATGTTCTGAAAGTTTATATAGTCCTCCAGCTCAGAAGTACAAGAATTTAACCCTCAAGTTTACTAGTTCTACACTAGTTCTGCAGAACATACTAACTTTTCAATCTGCATGTTAGTTTTATAGACATTACCTGAGTACAGAAGTTTTTATAAGTAATTATTCTATGTAGAATAAAATATTTTAAAGTAACCTGAATTTCAGTATTATATCCAAAATGGCTTTCCTTATAAAGAGTAAAAATGCCATGAATAAACAAACAAAACAAAATCAATGCTTCCATGTCCTTTCAGGAATTCGACCTTTCTTAGTTCACATTTTTATGGTGGGTACCATTCTTAATTGTCAACAGATTATAAAGGGATATAACTTTCATATATAAAAAACTAAATGGAAACCATGCTTATTCAATGCTAATTAAATCCATCCCTAGAATTTCTATAAAGAATATATGCTTAATTAAGACAAAGCTATTTTGATATAATTCAACTAGATTGCACCTATCAATAGTAAAACATGTTATTATCCTAAGAATTAGATCATTCTTCAGTTATTATCATCAACTAATCAATTATGTTCAATTGCAAAAGTCATTGGCAACATATTTTTCACTCATACATTAAATAGAACATACAAATATGGATACAAATAAAGAGTAAGGTACATCCGAGGAAAGAAAGAGAAGATTAAATTCAACATACCACAGAGTGCTCCCGCTCGTCCTTCCAAGGTTACCTGCCATGTAAATGAATCTCCTCGACTCTTTTCTGTTTCTAAATCTTTAGGAGATATTGGAAAGACACATTTCCACAATAGCAGAACTCGAGCGAGGTGGTGACTCACCACTGCAGGACCTGGAATTTATTCAACTTGTCACTTGTAAAAGAACCAACTAATCTTTAAAATCTTATTAAGTAGGAACTTCCTCTTTTTAAATATTTTCACGAACTACTCCAACTCTCTGTTTCTTTTTTTACCATCTGATGTCAAAATATATACCATTAAATGAATTACTATGTGAAGGTGCTGGAGTACACAGAAGTAAAGCAAGGAACTAACAATAGGGTCTGCATTTTTTTTTTTTTTTAAAAAAGGATTTATTTACTTATGTATACAGAACTGGAGTACAGGCCAGAGGTACAGGGGTGGTGAGAGGATTCACCAGAGACAGAGTGGGGAGCAGACAGGCTGAATGATGAAATACACTGCTGAGGGGAGCAGCAGGCGGGTCAGGAGAGGTCTGCCACGCCATGTGGGTCACCTCCGGGGCAGGGATCGAACTCGTGCTGAAGTGGCTTTAAGCTTCTTAGTGCTATGCTTTAACCCTCTGCGCCACCAGGGAGGGCCCAATAGGGTCTGCATCTTAAGTGTTAGCTCTTTCACTACTGCTGTGATCAAAGACATAGTTTCTTTATCTGTAAAGTGAGGCTTCTATCACCTGGCACTGCTTCTCTCAAAGGGTTTGTCAGATCTAAATGACAGAAAGAACTTTAAAGTACTCTGAAAAATTGCAATGTACCACATAAAAGTAAGATACTACTATTCTAGTAACAAATAACTTTGCACCTTGAGAATAACTTTTGATGGCAACTTGTTCCAGGTCAACAATTAGATGTGATTCATACAGCTGAATGCAATTCTTTAAAAAAAAAATTCAGATCAATGACATTTATGAACTGGGGGTTCATAAAGCCAGTAAAGAAAGGCAGTGTACAATACTATTTTACTTGATGACAATAGAAATTAAGAAAAAAGAAAAGTTTAAAAACCAAAAACTTACAGCTATTTTCTACCCAGGTAATTCTCTTTAACATTCTCCTAGAAAAAAGTCCTCCTTATTTCTAGGAGAAACATTTTCTGCTGTTTCATTTATTTTTTTCCTTTCTGTAGCATGGAAGCATGGCACTGGGTTCTGAAAGAAGACTATTTTGGTGTCATCCACTTAGTTACTACATAAACTTGAATAAATTACTTAACCTTTTTGTGCCTCAGTTTCCTCATCTATAAAAGGGAATAATAGTATTAAACCTTGTTGGACAGTTTGAGTTTTATATAAAGAACAATGCTTGACTCATGATAAACATCTATGTAATGTTTGATATGCAATTATCATTCAAAATTTTTCTTACTTGCATATGAAGAGAAGAGCCTATAGGCGAAATGAAAGGGCAATTACAAGTCAAACTTTTTTTTAGTAAGTTTATTATGAACATGCAATAAAATATTGCATCTTTTTTTTTTATTTGCTGAGAAAGACTTTTGTAGTATTTTTTCAAGGGAATGAACTTCCTTAAAAATTTCTGTTCATTTAAATATTGCATTTATTAAGTAATTTCCCCCTTTAACTTGCCAAGACTATTACTACAGTATAGCAGATGTGAAACACCCAATCAAAAGCAAATAAAGTTGACCACATTATTTTCATCCCACTGTAAAGTGGTGTCAACAAGTATTTCCTTTAAAGGGGCCAAAGAGTACCCATTTTTTGCATTGAAGGTCATTGAATCTGTGGCGGAATTTTTCAACTCTACCACTGTAATGCTTAAAAGCCATAGATAACATGTAAACATATGCATGTGGATGTACTTGAATAAAACTACGTGAACAATGAAAAACTGACTTTCAGGTAATTCTCAAGTGCGACAAAATATTTTTTTCCCTCAACCATCCTTAATATACAGGCTGTCTAAATCAGGCAGCCAGCCAGATTTGGTCCCTAGGCTAAACCTTGTTCTAGTCCAGTAAATCTTTTTAATCATCTAAAGAATATTGCTTTAGGTGGTTTTTCATTTATTTATGATTGCTTATTTTATTTTATTTTTTTAAAGATTTATTTATTTGTGCATACAGAACTGGGGTACAGGCCAGAGGCTCAGGGGCAGCGAGAGGCCCCACCAGAGACAGAGTGGGGAACAGAACAGGCAGATCAACGAAGTACACTGCTGAGGGGAGCAGCGGGCGGGCCAGGAGAGGTCTGCCACGCCATGTGGTCTCCTCCGGGGCAGGCGGGAATCGAACTCATGCGGAAGCGGCCTTAGATTCTCAGTGCTGTGCTTTAACCCGCTGCGCCACCAGGGAGGGCCCTGCTTATTTTATTTTTAATTTCTACTAGATTAATTTACTTCCTAGGCATCAAAATTAATTACTGATCAAATTCAGCCAGTTTTATATTCTAGCAATATATCAGAAGAGTGTAAGAAATGTAATTAAGACAGACCTAATGATAAGATAATAAAATTAGTTGAAAGTGACAGGATTTAAATATTATAGTCATGGCAGTAAAATAATTACTGATTTTTAATAAATATGATTTCAATTAGTCCTATACCCTTCAATGTATCTTCTTATTGGACCTGCTAATTCACAGGACAATTACAGAATTGGAGTCAAAGACCATGGTATGTTTTCTTGCTTATCCTTACATTGTAAAGAACTTTTTATCTGAAAATGGATGTGAATGATTTTTGAAAAATCACAGTCATTCAGAATTAAGTCTGAAGGATGACCAAATTAGCTTATCCTATTTAGGATCATTGGTCAAAGAGAATTTCAAGCAGAATATCTAAAAATGTTTTAAGCAATGGAGTAAGTATATGACTTTCTAAGGTCTCTACCAAAAGAAAAAGACTTGTGTGATATTTAAATTGTGGAACACATTAAAAGTAAGTCTCATTAAGTAATATATTAGGCTATCTTACATACAAAAGACACACAATGTGGATATATAAAATCTTCCACAAGTCTTACCTAATGTCTAAAAAGACATTTCTTCAAAGAGGAAACGCAAATGGCCAACTGTTATAAAAAATTTTCTACATCATTTGTAATCAGGGGAAGGCAAATCAAAATTACAATGCAGTATCACCTTACACCAGTGAGAATGACTCATATTAAAAGAACTAGCAATAACAAATATTGGTGAGGATGTGGAGAAAAAGGAATACCAATGAAAATTGGTCTAGCCACTATGGAAAGCTGTGGGGAAGTTCCTTAAACTACTAAAAATGGAGGTTCCATATGATCCAACAATTCCACTCCTAGGTATCTACCCAAAGGACAAAAAAAAATTAATTCAAAGGACACCTGCACCCCTCTGTTTACTGTAGCACTGTTTACAATAGGTAACCTATGGAAATAATCCAAATGCCCAAAAACAGATGACTGGATAAAGAAGAAGTGGTGTATATACACAATGGAATTATTGCTCAGCAATCAAAAAAGATGAACTCATGCTGTTTGCAGGAATGTGGATGGAGCTGGAAGGGATCATGCTTAGTGCAGTAAGCCAGAAAGAAAAAGAAAAAGAAAAAATATATATATCTGTTGGTTACAGGAATGTAGAGGAGCCAAAAAAGGGATCAGGAAAAAAAAGTAATTATAATAAATTGAAAATCAAAATCAACAGGCAGCTATAAATCTAAGACATTTTGCAAGGAAGGAAGGTGGAGTAGGATCAAAACAGGGAGGAAAGAGTACAAAGGACGATGGTGATGAACTGGTGGCCAGATTACACAGGGACTATACCTGAGACAACAAAGCACCCACTCTACAAAAATGAAGAATGATATAAAAAAATATTTAAAAAAACCTTACCTAACGTCATCAGAGCAGTAATCAATAACCATCCAGCTTGTGTGCGCTGTGCTGAAAGACGACTATTTTGTGTAGCAGAACATAGCAAGTCCTCTGCTAAAGTCATAATAATCTATTCATGTATAGAAAAACAGGTTAAAAATAAAATCCATCTCTTTATAGGCTTCTGGACAAAATGACAAAAATAATAATCTCTTGAAAAATTAACTCATTGTTTTTTCTTATAACAATGTAAGTGATAAAGGATTTTCACATAGCGCTACCACAGGACAATGTCATGCAGAACTATACAAAAATTAAGTTTTTTAAGAATGGTATATTAGACTGTACACAGCAACCCTAAAATTCTTTGAGAAATACATAGGATAATACAATATGACTGTTCAAGTTTGGTTGTATAAAATTTGAATTTGTTTTCAATTTTAAGATCTTAGCTCTATGGTTATCGAAGAAAATTTCATTAAAGGACTCTCCCTTTTTAAAATTGGTAACTTCCTCAAGTTGAAGAGCTTCTGTACAGCAAAAGAGACATTACAAAAAACAGATGACCCACTGACTGGGAAAAACATTTCTTACACAATACTAATGATAAAGGGTTGATCACAAAGCTATACAAAGAACTGATGAAACTCAACAAAAGTAAACAATACCATCAAAAAATGGGCAGAAGAAATAAAAAGACACTTCTGCGAAGAGGAAATGCTGATGGCCAACAGGCTTATGAAAAAATGTTCAACATCACTTGTAATAAGGGAGATGCAAATTTAAACCACAATGAGATACCACCTCACACGAGTGAGAATGACACATCTTAAAACAACCAGCAACAGTGTTGGCAAGGATGTGAAGAGAAAGGAACTCTCCTGCACTGCTGGTGAGAATGTAAACTAGGTTTCTCAAACTGCTAAAAATGGTGCTTCCATATGACCCGGCAATCCCACCCCTAGGTATCTATCCAAAATACACAAAACCATTACTCAAAAAGATACCTGCACCCCCATGTTTACAATAGGAAAACATGGAATCAACCCAAATGCCCAAAAGTAGATGAATGGATTAAAAAGATGTACATATCTACAATGGAATATTACTCAGCAATCAAAAAATGATAAACTCATCCCTTTTGCAGCAACATGGATGGAGCTGGAAGGGATCATACTTAGTGAAATAAGCCAGAAAGAAAAGGAAAAATTCCGGATGGTTTCACATTTTACAGGGGTGGAGGGGTAAAAGGGAATAAAAATGGGGGTGGGGGAAGTGCACGGGACTATGATGATGGCACATGGGTAAATTGGTGATGGGAAGCCCACAGAGATTACAACTGAGATGGAAAAGGGCACAAAATGATGTAAAAACATACTATTATAATATAAAAAAGAAAGAAAAAAATTTTTGACAACTTCCTTGTTTTTTTTTTTTTGGTATGGCAAATAATCCAGGCTGATGTTGTTGATTTCCTGTCCCAGGCTTAGAATCACCATTTTTTCAAGGAACCTTGATTGCTTTATGGTTGGAAATGGTATTTGGAGTCATAATGAGGAAACCAGAGGTTTCCTTACTATTGGGATGTCACTGCCTTTAGTTTTTTCCTCTGGACAGAATGAGGACATAAGTAAGCATTTTTGAAAAAATTGGTATTATAAATTCATTCAATATTTTAAAATTCATTCAGTATTTTAAATTCAAGTTTAACATATGTGGTTTTTATTTAACTTTCTTGATTCTATAGCTGTAGCTTTTTTAATAAGTAAAATCCAGATTCCTAAAAACATTAATGTAAACTAATTTCAAAACAATAGCACCATGCTATCACTAACATTATCAAATTTAAGATTTCTTTTGAAGCTCTGTTTGTCCTTCACAGTGCAAATTTATATATATATTTTATAGTAGAGCTATATAGGTAGCAAAACAAAATCTTCAAAAATAATAACTATATGCAGATACTTCTAAGCAAAAGTACAGAAAGCACTCCTATTCAAAAAGTGTGCTTAAGAAAATTTTAAACCATCCTTTCTTTTTCATAGCCATTTTGTTGATATTATTTAATATTTAAATAGTAGTACAGCTGGTTGCTTAGAAATTTATCCTTGCATGGTTCTGCCTGAGTGATACATAAGTCAAAATAATGCTTTTAGAGAAAACTTGAAATTATTAGATTTGGAAAATGAAATAATTACCTTGCCCTTTCCATGAGGAATTCCTAAAGGACAATGTTTTACTGCTCCCAACAAAGCTGCCACAGCAAAACTAAAGCCAGTAACTGCTTCTGGTGAAGACTTAAGTACAGTCAACCGCTCAAGGCAACGGTCTAAGAGGGGTGTTAGGTAAGACGGTGATGCTACAGCAATGCAGTGTAAACACCAAGCTGCTGCCAGTCGGACTGAAATGCTAGGATGAAGAGTAACGGAAATGACACTGTCTAGAATGCCTAGAAGGACAGAAAAGCAAATGATAACTTAGCTACAGAAGAACCTTAGTAATAACATAGATAAGTATTCACACAGATATAAAATATATTATCTGTATTAAAAATGAAATCAGACTTTAAAATATTGATACATAATTATTAATAATCTTGTGTAAGAATTACTTCTACTGATGCAGCTCATGAAAACTGGCTTTAATGAAATCAGCATATAAAGTAAAATTTTTAGTTTCCTAAATAAACCATTGTTTTGTTTCCTTTTATCTTGAGATCATTGTTAATTTAGGCTAAAAAGTAAAAATTATCAATAAACAACAGAAAAATAAAAATTATCAACAAACAACAGAACAGCTCTTTAACAAGAGCTCTAATGTGCTTAATCCTCATTTTTTAAAAAATCTCTGTAGAACTTTTATCGACATAATTAGTATACTTCATATCTACTATATTGTTCCTATCTGAAAGTATTAAATGATATCAAGGCTTCACTGGTCCTCAGTGGGTTACCAACTATGAAGACACTGGAGTACCACTACCTTAAGAGGAATGTTTACACTTGCTCTAATTCAACATACAAATTCATCAAAATAGGTAACAATTTAGTCAAATGCTACTTAAATGTTATGTGTACTAAGACAAATACCTTGCAAATTAACAATGTAAAGTTGCAGTCAGTAATACATATATGACAGTTAAAGGACAAAGCTATTAAAAATGATTTTAAAAATCAAATAAAGAAAACCCACCACAAATGACCACAATACTGTATGATGCTACTTATACGAAATGTCCACAATAAGCAAAACCATAGAGACAGAAAGTAAATCAGTGGCATCGTGGGCTAACCAAAGGCAAAATGGGGAGTGACTGTTAATTGGTACAGGATTTCTAGGGGTAATGAAAACATTGTGGAACTCGACATTTCTGGTGACTGTACAAGTCTGCATGCAATATACTAAAACTTCTAAATTGCATTTCTGAAAGTATGAACTTCAGGATATGTAAATTATTTCTCAAAGCAGTTAAATAAATTTCAGAAAGAGGAAGAAAAGAGAGACATCTGGAAACTGAGGAAGTGAACTGTTTGTACAGATACAGAAACTGTTTTCACTGCAGATGAGAGGTAAGAGTTAGGGTTAATGTCTGCTTTTCCAGGCTATGTTAAGTAACTCCAGGAAGGGGAGTTGGAGGTAGGAAAAACCTCTAATTAAAAAAGCAAAAAAAAAAAAAAAGGCAAAAAAAGGTATTCGGACAAGTCATAAAAACAGATACCTGCACTTGAATCCTGTAGTAAAGGTGCAGCTGTGGTACCAAGATTGTGTATGAGGTTTCCAAGTTCTTGTAAAGCACACACCAACATATGCTGGCTGGCTGTGACATCTGTGGAACCAAGTCGGGTTTCCAAATTACCATCACCCATTGCAGCATCTGATAAAAATATAAGAATTAGCCATGCATCACTATTTTATTAAATTGCATTCGTTAGAAGCAGAAAAGTATAAAGACAAAGATTAACACTGACACTTGATCTATATAAAACTCTTCAGGCAGTAACTGAAATATTAATAGGGACTTACATCAATAAAGAACTGAACTAACGTAACTTACTAAGTTCAAGCAACCTAATCATAGATCCTTTATTCTCCTTTAGCAATGGCACTGAGAAAGAGAACTCATGGAATACTAAAGAACATTTTCTAGAAAAGCATAAAGGACTTAGTAGTACTAGGATGAACTATTACAAAAGTTGACAATGTGTCAACTTTTATAGAGAAGATAATGGATTTTAAGGAACTACTATCACCAGTCTTTGAGATTTGAAGTAGTTTCACTTGGTAGTTATTACCGGTTTGTCTCATCTATATACTAATTACTTTACCCTGAAAAAAGTGATGTCTATTAAACAAGTTTTGTATTAAGATAATAATATACCAGTCTAGCTCTTCTAAAGGTATAATTACTTGAGGCATTGCTAAAACAATTGTCTTAGAAGATCCATACCCACGACTTTCTTTAACTTCCAGATAGCCTGGCAAATATCCTTGGCAGCAGCAATCTGAGCCTTTTCTCCAAGAAGGCCTCCGATAGTAGTTCGAAGGATAAATGAAACACATCGGCGACCACAGACAGCATCAGTCTGAATTTGAGTGGCTTTAGGGTGTGACTGTGACACAAGGCTTAGGATATGAGAAAGAAATACAGCAAAATTTTTCTCTAACCATGTTCCACCTAGTGTTGAAATAAATACCACATATGCCTGAAAAGGAAAAGGAGTTTTATTTTCAAAGTGAAATTATTTCAAGTCCATATTAATATTTTCTCTTTATATAGTGAAAAAAAGATTCATTTTTTTCTAAGCTTACTTAATTTATAGTCACTTTAGCTATATAAACATACATAAATACTATATAAATATAGTACTGTTTCATTTGTTTATTAAACCAAAATGGAAGTTGGCAGACTTTAACTGAGACTTCATTTATGCTGTCCATTTTATTTTTGTCCTACTGTTTAAAGTTTCAGGATAGTCAAATTAATTAATATTTAAAATGTATGTCTTTTTTTTTTTTTAAACAAAGAAATCAGGTTCTTTAACAGTCTGAACAAGAAAACTAAATTCAAACATCTGAATACATTGTAACTATTAACTATGTTCTAGTGGCTTAACTCTTAAGAGAATTTTAGTTCTAGAAACCTGAATGGAAGGTTTATAGTGATGACTCACTGTTCTTTATTTTCATGAATGTTAATGGTATGTCTTACCGCAGAGAGACACAAATAATTGTTTTCTATGTAATATGTTTTTCAGAAACACATATTTTACAATTAACAGGGATATCTTATATTTTCATGAAGTCTAATAAGCAGTATAAAACAATGAGAACACATGCAAATTTAGAAAAATACATATTTGCTTTAACCTGTAATGTCATTCAAGAAAAAACACAGAGACCTCTATATTGTAGGTTCTAAAATAGTTTCCCCAGAATTTAGCTTTTAAATTTTGTTTGGGGCCGAAATATTAAAGTGGATTATATGCTAGAATCTTTATTAGGAGTCAAAACCATATAAAATGGAAATACAACATAGCCTATACTGAACAATACGAACCTAAAAGCTTAAATTTGTACAGTACAAGCACATAACACAATGGAAAACATCAAAACACAAGACACATGAAACCCTAGAAACAATCAAAAATTGCTGTTTGAGTTTCAAAGTAAATAAACAAAAATCTTCCATTATTAGGAATTAAAAACACATTGTAAGTAGTAGTCTAGTTGATTTTGTTTGAGGTACATAAAGTACTCTGACTTGTAATCTAGTTTTGGCCTCCCATATCTATTTATAAACTTAAGAGCATAAGTGATCACCTTACCTAGAATCATTTCTGACTGGAGTCAGATACTAAAACATTCATTATATGCCAATAAGAATCACATTTAGATGTTGAGTTATAATTCTAACCTGAGTAACTCCAACTCGAACATCCCTACTGACTGAACTGGTTCCTTTTAGCATATCACCACTGGCTCGAAGGAATCCTGAGCTCCCACGAAGAAACCCTGTTCCTAGTAATTCAAGAACTTCCTCCAAAGATACTCTGCGAATACTTTGACGTGAGGCTGCTATAACAAAGAAAAATGTGATTTGCATTTTTAGACTAAATTTTTTATCTTGATTTGCATGATTCTGATCAGTGTACTAGTAGAAACAAATTACAATTCCAAAGAAAATGAAAATTTTACAGGACATTACAAATATTAATACACAAAATGTAAGGCCTCCCTGGTGGCATAAGGGGTTAAGCCTCAGCACCATCAAGCTATCACTAGCCAATGCAGCACAAGTTTGATCCCCAGCTAGGGAGCTGACCCACATGATGCAGCAGACTCTTCTGGCTAGTCCACTACTTCCCTCAGCAGTGTATTTCAACACATCTGCCTGTTCTGTACCCCACTCTGTGCCTGGTGAATCCTCTCATCCCCTGTACCTCTGGCCTATACCCCAGTTCTTGTATGCATGAATAAAAATAAATCTTTTTAGGACCTCCCTGGTGGCGCAGAGGGTTAAAGCACAGCACTGAGAAGCTAAAGCCACTTCCGCATGAGTTTGATTCCCACCTGCCCCGGAGGTGACCACGTGGTGTGGCAGACCTCTCCTGACCCACCTGTTGCTCCCCTCATCAAACTTTCATACAAGAATGCACCGAGGATTCCTGCCTCTAAAAAGTAGTACTATATTGATTACAAAAAACGGTCACTGTCTAAAGGGTCTTCCTTCTATATTTGTTGACATTACACCATAAACATGAGCTTTCCTTTCTTTATTTAGTTATCTTCAGTATGTTCACTTCTTTTTTTTGTTTCATAGGTCATAATCCATTTCTGTCGTTATTAATTTTGATTCTGTCTTGGATTGGACAAGTGGTAGTTTCCTTGAAAAGTTGGCTAGTGGAGCTCCTTTTTTTTTTTTTAGAGATTTATTTATTTATGCATATAGAACTGGGGTACAGGCCAGAGGTGCAAGGGCTGTTAGTGGATTGACCAAAGACAGAGAGGGGTGCAGAAATCGATGAGGTACACTGAGAGCAATGGGCAGGTCAGGAGAGGTCTGCTGTGCCATGTGGATCACCTCCGGGGTGGGGATCGAACTCATGCTGAAGTGGCTTTAGCTTCTTAGTGCTGTGCTTTAACATGCTGCGCCACCAGTGAGGGCCTATCATTTTAATTTTTACTTCATAACCTTTACATATTGTTGAGTGCACAAAGTCCCACTGTGTTAGCTTTCCAAACTGATTACGCAGTATGTTGCTAACTATTAGTCTTAAAAAAAAAAAAAATATCATTGAGGTCATTTCAGTTATACAAAAATAACTCAGTTACACTGCAAACTAGAACTTACAGATGGCAAGATGATATAATTTCCAACAATAGAGCAGGAAACATTTTTTCTTTTAAAAGGTTTTTTTTGGGGGGGGAATAGAAGAACTAGGGTGTAGGCCAAAGTATGAGGGGTGAGCAGATTCACCAGAGAAAAGAGTAAGAAGCAGAACAGGTGGATTTACTAAAATACACTGCCAAGAGGAGCAGTGGCTAAGACAGGAACGGTCTGCTGCACCATATGTGGGTTAGTTCTGGCCAGGGATAGCACTCTGGCTCTTGTGGTGATAGTAATGAGACTTTACCCCTAGGCCACCAGAAAGCTCTCAGTTAGCATTTTTTTTTAGTGTGGGTGAAACTGTTCTGATTAGAAAATGGTGGTAATAAAAATGTGCTTTTACAGGGAAGTATACATTTAAATGTTACTCACATTGTTAGGCAAGTATACATTTTAATTTTTCTTTAACTGTTAGTGTCAGAGATAAATGATATATTGACAATTAAGCAATTTACATTTCCAAGAGGATTTAAATAAGTCTTTTAATTTCAACTTCTTACAAAGCCTAAGATTTAATTCTTAAATGTCGTAATTTTTTTTCTCCTAGCTTGGGATTCTTTTTTTTTTTGATGGCATTTTCCTCTTCTAATTCACCTCCACCCCCTAAATGTCTTTTGAAGTATGAGATTAGAAGAACCACAAAAAATTTAAAACTCTTACTATAAATTTTAAATTTGTGAACCTTAATTAGAGAATGAGGGGATTATATAACTTGCTAGTGTTTGTTGCCAGATTGTTCTGATGTTATACTCCCTGTACTGTCATCTGTGGCTGAAAAACACTAGCTGTAGAAAAAGCCAGAATCCTCCTTTATTAACAATTACCATTTCTAAAGTGATGGTATCCCAAAAACTATCTGTTTCTGCCTGATATAGATCCTGGCTGGGCACACTCCTGTAACCGGGGTGTCTGTGCTGCTCAGCTGCGGGGATGGAGCCCTCAGTGTCTTTGGGGTACGGGTACCCCAAAGAGAGGAAGTGAGAACAGTGGCCTGAAGGGAGATGGACACAGTCGAGGAAGTAAAAATGCCAAGTCTACAGCCCTGCCTGCTGTGGGCGTCATGCCCCGGACTGGGCGGCGGCTTCTAAGGTGGTGCCTGGGGTCCAGTCTGTAGCTGCCACGGGGGTCCTGGAGGTGATAGAGAGGACAGGGGTAGGGGCCTTCCCAGTCTCAGGGAAGGATGTTGTTAACTGAGAATTGTTTGGGTTTTATGTATATTATAGAACAAAAGCATACACATGCTATCATTTTCAAAACCACCCCATCCTTAATACTAACTAGAATATACAAACAGGAAGAACAACACAAAGCAACTTGTCCAAACATAGTAAACTTCAAGTTCTGATGTTTGGAATTCTTTACACCATTCATCTATTGTAATAAATAGAAAACTGCAAGACAAGTGCATGTAATCAGATACAGACCTCTTCAAAAACCATTCTCAGGATTTTAGATCACATCTTTTATTGAACAACACTGCATATTTTACTTTTTCTTAAAGAAGGCCATAAGGGAAAACAAAAAAAGACCATAACATAAAAGAAGATAATGATTGAGCAAAGCACATTCACCACAAGTTTTCTTTCCTCCTCAAATTTTAACTGAGTTGTTTGAAAATGAAATCTTGGATCTACATCAATGTTTTAAACTAAAATTGATTTATATTCTGCCTCTTTCAAAAGCAGTGAAAAGCGATAATGTATACTAGCTAAATAAACTAGGGGAAAAAGTCAAAGATATTCTGAAAATAATGATATAAACTTACCTGCTCCTGAATGTTTAGAAATTAAAGCTTTAGCTAATATGGTGCCTAGTAGCTTTGAAACTGAAATCCGCACATCATAACTGGAACCTTCAAAGGATTTAAAACATAATGTGGCCACACTATCCAAATCTGTACTCCACATAAAGATGGCCTCATTCTGAAGTTCAAGGAGACACTATTCAATTGGAATAAAAAAATTAATGAATAGCAAATTGCTAGCTCAGCTCATGTAAGTTATACAAACTATCAAGATAACAAAAATTAAACACAAAGTATATAAATTATGATTTCAGAGACAACAAATTAATACTTATTAAGTAATAAAAGCTATACTATATACAGCTTTGTGTCCATACAGGGTTAGGAAGGCCCATTTCTAACTCAGCAGGTTATAAAAAATGCCTTCAAAATCACTATTTTGGTTATGAACAATTATGAGAGTAATTTCAACATTTATTGCACTGTCTAATCAACTACATATTTAAGAGCAGCATAAAAACAAGACAACATGTCTTTTGCAGCAACTTGGATGGAGCTGGAAAAGATCATGCTTAGTGAGATAAGCCAGAAAGAGAAAGAAAAATACCGGATGGTTTCACTCATAGCAGGAATATAATGTACCAGGCGAGAAAATAACAAAAACAATGAACAACCATATACCAGAGACATTTTGCGGGGATGGAGTGGGGAATGGGATCAAAAACGAGGGCGTGGGGAGGGAAGTGCACGGGATTATGGTGATAGCACACGGGTGACTTGGTGATGGGAAACCCACGGGGATTACAATTGAGGTGGAAAAAAAAATGTACAAAATGATGTAAAAATAAACTGTTGTAAAATTTTAAAAAACATATAAATTTTAGTTTATACCATTACAGAGAGGAAGCACAGCAGAGTGGGACGAATACTGGAAACCTGAACCTGTCACCTTCCAATAACATATTTCAACTATTTGAAACATAGTAGGGGACTTCATATAAACTTCTGGGCCTCAGTTTCAACTTTTAACATGAGATAGTTAATCCTGGTTGACTACCAAGATTAGCAGCTCTAAGATCATGTAGCTAGCTATTCCTAGTGTTTTTACAAGGATAAACTGTCTACACTTTCTTTACACCAATTTTTTAAAAGTCTACTTTCTTAAGACTATTTTACCTTTGCAGCAGCACAACGAACAGCCATGGACCTATCTGTTAAGCACGATCTAGCAGCTTTATAAACATCTCTGTGACAAGGTGTCGCAGCAGTTCCTAGCCCGTTCAGTATGTTTTGCAGACTCAGCATAATCTCATAACGACCTTGAGACTACCAAAGAGAAAAGAAAAAATTTAAGTAAGGAAAAGTTCACTGTAAAGAACAGCAGTAAAATGGCCCTCCCTGGTGGCGCAGCGGTTTAAAACACTGCACTAAGAAGCTAAAGCCACTTCCGCATGAGTTTGATTCCCGCCTGTCCTGGAGGTGACCACATGGTATGGTAGAACTCTCCTGACCCGCCCGCTGCTCCCCTCAGCAGTGCACTTCATGGATCTGCCTGTTCTGCTCCCCACTCTGTCTCTGGTGAAGCCTTTCGCAGGCCTGTACCCTAGTTCTGTATGTGCAAATAAATAAATCTTTAAAAAAAAAAAAAACAGCAGTAAGCACTGAAATTTTGCTTATTTGAGAGAAATGTTCAGATTTCTGCACATACAAGCCAAACCATTCTGACATTAACATCATTGGTTGCAATTTTATGAAGTATTTAATATTTTGAAAATATTTTCATGCAATATGAACATACAATATAGAGGTTATGTGGAGAGTTAAAAAAAAACTGTATAGAAAGTACATGGAGAAAGTGCGCATGTTAGCAGGCATTTAAAAATGTCTGTAGACTATAAGATGAGGTACCATGGTAAAAGCACAGGGTCTGCCTGCCTCACCTCCTCCTACAGCAATATAATGTTAGGCAAATCTGTTTATTTTTCTATTAAATGCAAATAATAGTAGCTACCTCATAGACTATGAGGGTCAAAAGAGTACTTAGAACCATTCCTGACACCAGTAAATGGTTAATAGACCTAAAGCTATTAATATTTTATCACTGATTGGTTCAAGTAGTTTAATGGTTAAAACTATATGCTTTAGACTTTAGATCTGGGTCTGAATCTTGATTCTGATCTTTAGTAGCTGTGTAATTTTAAGATGTTCTTACTTATTTCTTCATATTTAAAATGAGAATTAGACAAACCTCATAAGGCAGGCAGTAGAAGTAAATAAATACTGATGGGTGGTAAAACACTGAGTACAGTGCCTGACACATAGTGAACACTCAAGAAATTGTAGTTGCTTGGATTACTTGTTTTACTAAATGCCACAAATAATTTCTATAGTCCAGGCCACTGAAGGTAACCGAAGTTGAAGGAAATAAAAGACATCAAATATCATTTTCATGGTAATGTTAAAAATATCTTTGTTAAAAGAAGCTCAATAGTAATTTAAATTGACATTAAAAAATGGGTGTTAATTAGAAATTTCTAAACTCTTCTCTTTTATCCCAATTTCAAATGTCTCTATTACTAGTAGGTTTGTGTATCAAAGGTGGAGATCCATCTTGCTATCACCAAAAAGTTGTGGTACCTGATCAACTAAATTATAAAGGTGAAGAAAAACTTCATTTATTGCTTAAAAAATTATTTAGCAATAACTATAATTTCTGATACTTCAGAGCAATCCTGTTAACTATATCCCTGAAAGAATATTAAGCAATGAAGAGGAAAAATGTGGTTGTATTTCAGTAAATACAAGTTCGTAAAACTGTTGGCTTTTACATAAAACTAGATTTACTGATGCTAACAGTTTCTTCTGAATCACAATCTTTCAGGTACTACTGTAGAAAGGTGAGCTGCTTTGCTGATTCTGACCAGTTTTATATTATGGACTTAATTTCTAAAAGTTCCTGAATCAGTTACATTCTTTTCAAAATTTCCCATGTTTTATCTTGGTATTAAAAAAAAATGTTTGCAACAGTCAGAATTTAGACCCATTTTCTAGATAGTATTCTAAGGTAAAAATAAGAACTAGTGTGATATTTTTATATTTACTATTAAGGACTATACTGACAGTAGGTTTGTAGTATATGACTTTTACTGTATTTAGATATATTCCTTCTATATCCATTTTGTTAAGAGATTATCAAAAGCTTTCTCTGCACCTGCTAATATAGCATGACTTTAATCCTCTTTTAAATTACTGTGTTATATTAATTTATCCATGGTAAACCATCCTTGCATCACTGGGATAATTACCACATGATGGTATATGGCCCTTTTGATGTTTTTGATATTTACTAGTATCTTTTGAGAACTTTTCACATCTTGATTCATCAAGGATACTAGTCTATAATTTTCTTTTTTTTTTTTTTAATTTGCTGTCAGGTTTAGGCAATGTTGGCTTCAAAGAATATGTCTGAAGTATTCTCTCAGACTTTTTTTAGAAGAGTTCTGAGTAGAAGAGGCACCACTTCTTGGAGGGTTTGACAGAATTAATTTATACAGCCATCTTGTTCTGGGCTTATGTTTTTGAGGGACTTTTGATTTTCTGTTTCAATTTCTGTAATTGTGACTATCTATTCAAACTTTTGCAGTTCACTGATTCAGCCTGGTAAGCTGTACTATTACAAAGATTTATCCAATTATTTCCATATAGTTGTTTGTAGTAGTCTCTCATGAGATTCTGAATTTCTATGGTATCTGGTAATTTCTACTCTCACTTCTCTTTCTATTTATTAAAGTTTTCTCTTTTATTTATGAGTTTAACAAAAGTCTCATTAGTTTTATATGATCTCAGAGAACCAACTCTTGACTAACTCATCTGTTATATGGTCTTTTTATTTCCAATTTCCATTTCATTTATTTCTGCTCTAACTTTTATTATTTGCTTCTTTTTAAAACTTTTGACTTTGCAAAACTCTCATGACTAGGAAGAAAGAGAATGGAGGCATTACAATCCCAAATTTCAAGCTATACTACAAAAGTTATAGCAATCAAAACTGCATGGTACTGGAACAAGAACATACATACAGACCAGTAGATTTGGGTAGAAAACCCAGATATAAACCCACAGGTTTATGGACAGCTAATCTTTGACAAAAGAGCAAAGAAGATACAATGGAACAAAGTTTGTTCAGCAAATGGTCCTGGGGAAACTGGGAAGCTACATGCAAAAAAATGAAACTAGATTACTACCTCTCACCATATACAAAAATCAACTCGAAGTGGGTTAAAGCCCTAGACATAACAACGCAAACCATAAAATACCTGGTAGCAAAGATGGGCCAAATACTTCATGACACACATTTCAGTGACATCTTTAAAGATACAGTACCCAATGCAATGATAGTGAGGGCAAGGATAAATAGATGGGACTACATCAAGTTAAAGAGCTTCTGTACAGCAAAAGAGACATTACAAAAAACAGACATCCACTGATTGGGAAAAAATTTTCTCACATAAAACTAGTGACAAAGGATTGATCACAAAAATATACAGAGAACTGATGAAACTCAACAAAAATAAACAACCCCATCAAAAAATGGACAGAAGAGCTAAAAAGATACATCTCCAAAGAGGAAATGCTGATGGCTAACAAGCATATGAAAAAATGTTCAACATCATTGTAATAAGGGAGAGGCAAATTAAAACCACAATGAGATACCACCTCACTCCAATGAGAATGGCACATCTTCAAACAACTAGCCACAGCAAATGTTGGCGAGGATGTGGAGAAAAAGGAGCTCTCCTGCAGTGCTGGTGGGAATGCAAACTAGTACAACCACTATGGAAAACTGTTTGGAGGTTCCTCAAACTGCTAAACATGGAGCTTCCCTACGACCCAGCAATCCCACTCCTCGGTATCTACCCAAAAGACACAAAAACACTGATTCAAAAAGATACCTGCCCCCTCATGTTTATCGCTGCTTTATTCACAATTGGAAAGAAATAGAAACACCCCAAATGCCCACAAATGGATGAACGGATTAAAAAGATGTGGTACACATACACAATGGAATATTACTCAGCAACTAAAAAAAAGAAATACATGTCTTTTGTAGCAACATGAATGGAGCTGGAAAAGATCATGCTTAGTGAAATAAGCCAGAAAGAAAAGAAAAATATCGGATGGTTTCTCTCATAGCTGGAATATAATGGAACAGGAGAGAAAATAATGATAATGATGAGCAGCTATATACAAGAGACATTTTGTGGGGATGGAGTGGGGAATGGTATCAAAAACAGCAGGGGGGGAGGGAAATGCACTTGACTATGGTGATGGCACATGGGTGACTTGGTGATGGGAAACCCGAGGGGGTTGTAATTGAGATGGAAAATGCACAAAAATATGTAAAAATAAACTATTATAAAAAAAAACCACTTTTGGCATTGCTTTTCTTTTTCAAGCTGCTTTAAGAATAAGGTTAAATTATTTACTGAGATTTTTCTTGTTTCTTAATGTAAGCCTATATTACAATTTCTCTCTTTGTATTGCTTTTGTTGCATTCCAAGGTCTGAGAACTTCTGTCTTCATTTTTGTGATGTTTTATTTTTATTTATTTATTTTTTAAAGGTTTATTTATGCTTACAGTACTGGGGTACAAGTCAGAGGAGCAGGGGCAGTAAGAGGATTCACCAGAGACAGAGTGTGGAACAGAACAGGCAGACTGACAAAGTACACAGCTGAGGAGAGCAGTGGGACAGACAGGAGAGGTCTGCTGCGCCATGTGGATCACCTCTGGGGCAGAGATTGAATTTGCACAGAAGCGGCCACAGCCAGCTTCGCAGTGCTGCACTTTAACCCGCTGTGCCACCAGAGAGGGCCATTTTTGTGATATTTTAATACTTTAAAGGTGCTGAATTATCCTAACTATTAAGGACCTTAATTTTTGATGTACAAACATACAAATACTTTAGTTTATTTTCAAACTGATTGGTAAAACTACAGTTGGCAAAAGATCATATATCTTTGTAGTCAAATGAAGAGACAGCTATAAAAACAAAGGGTATTCCACAGTGATAAGTGATACCACAATTCAATGAGAGTAAGGCTAAGACTATACTTTCCTGGCAATTAAAAAATCATCCAGATTCTGGCCAGACCATGTCCTTCACACTTTTTACACTCTTCCCCCTCTGATTATGTTACTCCCTTATCATGCTGATACAATATTAATCATTCATTCCATAAAGTACAAGTGGTTAACAACTATGTATCTGAGTCCTCAGTGATAAGCACTTGCTCCTATGTTAGTAAAAAGCAACAAGTGATAAAGGTGAAGCAAAAGGAGAGCAGGGATGGATTTGTCAGAGAAATACCTTAATTTTCTTAAATTCTACTGCATTATTGCTTTTCTAAAAAGGAATCAAATCTTCCTGTAAGAAGCCTTAGGTGAACTCTGAAACTCAAGTGAGTTCACTTGACTTGAGAAAAACCCTACAAAGTCACACAAATCAAGAGGTTCCAACATTTGAATTCATCTTAAGAACACTAGGTTTTTGAAACTGTCAAAGCCATCAAAGATATGTATATTCAAAAGCCAGCAGATATCGGAAGGCAGGTGATCATTCTACAGAAACAGTACTCACTATTTCATTCTTAAAAAGATGAATTCAGTAGGTGTGCCCAGGCCTAACAGTGGAGCTGCTGGCAGGACTGGTGGCCAAAAATGAGTGCTGGATTTTTTTTTTTTAAAGATTTATTTGTGCATACAGAACTGGGGTACAGGCCGGAGGCTCAGGGGCGGCGAGAGGCTTCACCAGAGACAGAGTGGGGAGCAGAACAGGCAGATCGACGAAGTACACTGCTGAGGGGAGCAGCGGGCGGGTCAGGAGAGGTCTGCCACGCCATGTGGTCACCTCCAGGGCAGGTGGGAATTGAACTTATGAGGAAGTGGCTTTAGCTTCTTAGTGCTGTGCTCTAACCCGCTGCACCACCAAGGAAGGCCAAGTGCTGGATTTTTACTACATATACTTAAAAAATGCATAGTAATGCCAAACGTAAGGGGTTAGATACAGATTTTCTGGTTACTGAACACATATAGGTGAACAAAGTTCCAAAGATGTGTTGCAGCATTTAAAGAGCTCACAGTTAGAGTAACTCATACATGAGCACTCTCTGCCAACTGAAATGATCCTTACTGAAAAAGAGCAAATTGTTCCTAAAGGAGAAGAGAATGCACAGAAAAAAAGATACCCCAGAAGAAACTAAAGAAATAAAAACTTATGGCATGGGAATAAGTTCAGCACAAAATATGGAAATAAAAGTAAAAAACAAATAAATAAAAGGATTCAATATATAAAGTAATATATGTACTATCTACCCAGAAATATTTCGTATATGGGCCTACACACACACACATATGGTTATATTTATAGAATACATACACTATATATTTTGCATGTATACATTTATACACACACATATATACCCATTTCACATACGAGTATATTTATACACATGGGTATGTCTGTTATAAAATACTCTTACTGGTTCAGGAAGTTATAAAACCTATAAAAAATCTCTTTTCATCATTTAGTCAAATTTATAACTACTTACCTCTGCACTCTTCATAGCTTTAAGAATGTTCCCCACTGTATCAGTAAAGGTGTTACCCAGTATTCTACCCAACTTCTTGTACAGGGAGCCCAAACATACCACAGCAGCACTAAAACAAGTTAAATTAGAAGTTAGTTGTGACTAAAAACAAAGAAATAAAAAAATAAATCTTAGGATATGTAAAACAGACTATTTTATAAAGGAGAAAATTACCCAGAATCTATTCATTATTAAATCCTATGGCGTGACACAGTACTAAATAACTACACTTTCAATAACAGGAATTTTAAGAAGATATATCAATCTTCATTTAATCTAAATCTTAGTCCAAAGATCTCATCTCCTAAATTTTTTAAGAGAAATTTCTACAAAATATCTAGATTGCAGTTTCATTTATTAATCAAAAATAGACTTAAAGATAAAATGTAAGAACAACAAGAAAGAAAACTTGCACTAAATCTAAAAACTATGGAAAATAAATTGTCAAAAACTGAATTTGTATTGTTTCAAAATTATTAGTAAGCAGTCTGGGTTTTTTTTTTAAATGACACAAAGAAGCAATGTTTGTTTTCTGTTCAGTATTAGTATTTAACTTACAGTTTAGTGGGGAGATAACTTGGAGAATCATCTTTACTACGAATAAGTTCATTACATTTATCGATTGTTTCATAAACAGAGAACGTGTCTCCAATACTATAAAGGATGCCCAGATTCTTTGCAAGGAGTTTGCGCGTCGGAGGCCCTGGGGAGCTGTTCAACAAAGATAGGAGCTGTTCAACAAGAGTCTTCTGCTTCTCCCTTACATCGCTCTGGAAAGGAAGTAACAAAAGGACAAGCGAAAGTCAATAGTTTCATGTATTCCTCTAGGTATGATTTTTCTTTCATATGTTTGAAGACTACAGTATTTTAGAAAGATATAAAATTATTTTGACTAAAATAACAAGTTAGTTGGTGGTGTAGCCATGCCGACTAACAGGTAGTTTGTTATTGTTAATATATTTTTTAAATTTTATTTTAATTTATTTTTGCATATAAGAACTGGGGTACAGGCCAGAGGTTGGGGGGTGGTGAGAGGATTCACCAGAGACAGAGCAAAACAGGCAGATGTAGTGAAATGCACTGAGAGAAGCAGCAAGCAGAACAGGAGAGGTCTGCTATGCCATGTGGGTCATCTCCCTCGCTGGGGGTGGAAGTGCTGCAGTAGCTGAGGATAGCTTCATAGTGCTGCGCTTTAATACCTTGTGTCATCAGGGAGGTCCTGTTATTAGTATTTCAAAGTAAATTGTGGATCACAATATATCGGGTTCTATTGTAAATCTTCCTTGTATTTGAAAGGTAGGGCAAATATATATTTTACCTTGAGTTTCTTAGATAGTAAGCTTTTGCACATACAGATCTGCACAAACAAGCAGCAAGCCTATGTAACCTGTAAGCAAAGCTAACTATGTAATGGTTACCTGTTTTATTCAAATCTTAGTTTCTAAGAGTAACTCAACTTTCTTTTTGCAAGTTTCTGCATGTAAATGCCAATATTATTACTACACTTACCTGCCTGTTGTTCAGTGTAGAAGGAGGACAGAATATCAGTACAAGTGTAATGCTGTCAGGTATTCATTAAGGCCTAAATTTCCACAGCTAAGTACTTACTAATTTAGTATACAGATTTCTGTCTTCTGTTAAATTCTGAATGTTTCAATGAGTAGTGTTTTATGCTAATTTGCATTACATATGATAAAGATACTGTGCAGGAGGATACCCTTAATACTAGGAGATATAAATGCATAAACTGAGAAGTAAAGTAACATTTCACAGGGTTAAGTAAGTACTCTGTAAATCAAATACGGCAGAATGTTAACTGCTGAATGGAAGTAAAGGGTATGGAGTAGTTGTTTTTGAACCCATTCAATAAACTTTTAAGAGGGAAATATATTTGTCTTCAGTTCATATTTCCTTTGAAGAATTCATACCCCTTTAAAGGTGAAACTCCCAAACATTATTTAGCACTTTACTAAGGATTCATGCACATGGTGGTACAAAAGGTATTGAAGATAACAGAAGTGATGTATTTAATACAACATGGTTTTTAAGTAGTGTTTGATATATTTTAATGTAATATCCAAAATATTTGCTAATTTCTTCCTGCTTTTCTGAACATGACAACCTTGTTTTAATATTGCATTAAAGTGTCTTAACAAGGCAAAATATTTGAAAGTCATTTTTGGGTATTCTGGACAGAACTATAAAAGCAAATCAATGGAATTGGGCATTATCTGGCTTTTAAGAAAAAACATGTTTTGCAATTGTACCTACCCTGCTGGTTGCTAGCAAGAGCTTCTCCAAATATCTCAACCAATCGAAAATAAACTCTGCCTTCTGAACTTCACCCAGTTGATTGTATACTTCTTCATTCAGCAATAAACTATGAGCTAATTCCATTCCTTGAAGAAAATTCTAGATGTTCACAATTCTTCTCATTAAAGTTCAGTCAATACAAATCTGTAATAAAGGAAAACAATATATTTCAAGTGGACAGTAAAAAGGTACGCAGTTATAATACTGGAAAATCTTCTATATAACACAAAGCATAATTAGATGTACAAAACTTTTATAATGGCTCTAAAATAAAACTAGGAAAATTTTAATACTAAATTCCAGTTAACACTTACATAAAATCTACCTTTGTATTCTATACCCTTTTTTTTTTTTTAAAGATTTATTTATTTGTACATACAGAACTGGGGTACAGGCCAGAGGCTCAGGGGCGGTGAGAGGCTTCACCAGAGACAGAGTGGGGAGCAGAACAGGTAGATCAACGCAGTACACTGCTGAGGGGAGCAGCGGGCAGGCCAGAAGAGGTCTGCCACGCCATGTGGTCTCCTCCGTGGCAGGTGGGAATTGAACTCATGCGGAAGTGGCTTTTTAGCTAACCCACTGCGCCACCAGGGAGGGCCCTCTATACCCTTTTTTAAGAGACCAGACCGGCAAATATAGTAGTAGTATTGACATTCATATGCAAAAACATGCTAAAAGAAGATATATTCCATTAAAATTCTGGAAACCTTAAGGTTACACTACTCAAATGTTAGATTTTCAGTTTTCTTTATACTGTAAATATCCTAAAGCGACACGAGTCATGTGTAATAATAAAATGACATACTATTTAGATCTACTACTAAAATTCTACAATAAGCTTGATGTGTACAAAAACATGCTAAAAGAAGATATATTCCATTAAAATTCTGGAAACCTAAAGGTTACACTACTCAAATGTTAGATTTTCAGTTTTCTTTGTACTGTAAATATCCTAAAGCGACATGAGTCATGTGTAATAATAAAATGACATACTATTTAGATCTACTACTAAAATTCTACAATAAGCTTGATGTGTACCTAAATCACTGCCTAATATATAATACTGTCATTTACCTGGAGATTCTAACCAGAAGCAAAGACTCATACCAATTAGCATCTGTCCCCCTATCATATTAAAGACACTGCTTGTAGAGTGCTGTATGAGTTTTAAGAAATAACCCCTTTTCAACCAGTAGTCTCTATTTCTGTGAGCTTTTTACGAAAGTAAACTCCTGTTTTTGAAGGCACTAGGACAGATATTGTCCAGGGATTGTAGCAATTAAAAGCATGTCTACTCTGACCCAGATCCAATGCAGCCTTCACTTTCATTATAGCAAATCATCAACAAAAGACAGGAGATAGTGTTTTTTTTAAATTCATGAGTACCTCCTGGGCACACCCTGGTGATGTACACACCTATATGTATTTATAAGATGCCACTGTAATTATGGATTTTTTTTTAGAAGGTACATGCTCAGATATATAGGAATAAAGCAGCATGTTATCTGTAACTTACTTTCAAAAAGCTAAGTAAATCAATTAACCAGTTATAAAATATGGCTGGAATTGTTAAGTTTTGGTAGGTAGTGAGTCATCATTTTACTAAGCCAAAAAAAATTACCTAGAGTATCAGAGCATCATAATTATAGTATGCCTAAAAAAAAGCCTGTTTAAAACATTCTACTCACAAACTGTTTGCCAAATTTGGCATGCACTGCACTGGTGAAATAATTAGTTACTAATTTTTAAATACAAGATTTTACATGAAAATTTGGGTCAGGGTCACCTTATAGGAACAAATAACTGAATCTAAGAAGTCAAAGACACCCATCCATCATAATTCTCTCAAACCTGTCTACTCTTTTATCCATCTATGTTGTCTCCTCCCAGTCAGACCTGGCTGCCTCCCCAATACCACCCATAAACTGGCTTTAAAAGTTCTCAAATGAGAAAAAAGTTAAGTACACATATACCTTTATGTTATTGTCAAATGTCAATTTTAAGGAACAAGAACAATGTAAGAACAGACAACAGAATTGACAGAGAGAACGTGAATTTTAGATACTTGTTTAAAAACTCTCTTAAATTATCAAAGTGGACTGACCAAAATATACAGATTAACAAATGTTAGAAAAATAATTTCTGGTAGAAGCTGAAGAATAAAGGTGAAAAGCAAGTCTGCACTCAATATTTATGTGCAGGGGACAAAAATATAACCTTAATAGAGAAAATTTCTTGTAACCACCAGGGTTAAATCAGAATCCTATCTTAAGACTCACATTACCCTTTACAGAGGTCATTAGAACTGCTGAAGAGACACTTTTTTCCTTAGGCAGCAGCTGCATTGTGGTGTAAAATGAGCTATCAAGAAACAAAATAGCTAACACAATGCAATAATAAATAATTCAGTAAAAAGCTTGAAATCATAAGGAGGGCATAAAATTATCTCCAATGCCCTCAGTATATTTCTCATATAAATTACCCCAAAAGGAAGCAGACAATTCATATTGGTAATCCCGCATTTAAACCCCCAAGTCTTAAATGCACCTGTATCTCCAGATATACACTATCAGAGAGGTAAGCAAATGCATTTTGCAAATAACATATGTACCCGCTTTCACCTACAATTTCAATTTTAGGAAGATAAATACAAATACAGTCAATTTATGGTATGCTTTATTATAACCACAATCTTCTGACTAATTATGCCAGGAATGCTTACTTTTTGCTTATTTATTTTTTGAGGGATATTTAATATTTTTTCTCGTAATTGACTTTTATTTTTAAAATATTTTAACTTTTCCCTAAATATGTTTATTGAAATAAAAATGGTTTACATAGTTTTATTTGATTGGAGGTTATAGGTTCAAGCCTCTGTAAATGTATGCTTTTACACCCCTACCTACTCCCAAATATACATTTAATATTCAATAAAAGAAAAAATTGCATTTCAAGGTAAAACATGAAACTTTAAAGAAATTCTGAGCATGACAATGCCTTTCTACATTTTTTAACAAAATCACTTCCCCTCTACTAATAAGAATATTAATTTAGTAGAAAAGTTTAGGAACCACTAAGCTACTAATAAGCTGTACTACATGAATTGCCACTTTATGTGAAAATTGGCTGAATATAGGCAACTTCATGCAATTCAAACTAATGTTATATTTAGCCATCTACATAATGTGTAAGAGACTAATAATGTCCGTACTTTGCATATTATTAACCCAATAACTTTATTAGTCTAGAGTAATACATATGTAAACATTTGATTGACTTCTGACAGAAAGAGGAACCACGAAGGGTACAATTTTCTAGGGTCAAAGTTTGCCACAGTAACGTACTCCAGAGTCATCTCCAGAAGCTGAAAATGAGTTAACATCAAATTTACATGGATAGGGAATTGTGGGCAATTTAAATTTAAAAAACACAAAACAAAAACAAAGGGTATCAATTATATCAATACTGATAAATCTGTTGACATAATTTTCTCTAGGGCTTACAGATCTATTTTGCTAAAGATGGGGAAATATAAAATTTATGGGAGTAAAAGTGTTCCTAATCTTTTTTGTCATTTTAGTTTCCTTTTTTGTTTTTCTTAAAAAGATCTTTATTTATTTGTGCATTTAAGAGCAGGGGTGTAGGCCAGAGGTGCAGGGGCTAAGAGGATTCACCAACAACAACAGAATGGGAAGCAGAATAGGCACAACTACTGAAATACACTGCTGAGGACCAGCGGCTGGTGAGAGAGCTGCAGGTAACACAGTTGAGGTCTACTGTACCATGTGGGTTAGCTCCTTGACTGGGGATTGAGCTCATGCACAATGGCTGGCAGTGGATGGCAAGAGCTTGATAGGCTGAGGCTTTAATTCCTGTACCGGTAGGGAGGCCCTTCATTTTAGTTTCTTAAAATAATTTATTGTATCATTTTAAGGTAGAAGAGGAAAATCACAAATAATAAGAGAACATCAGACACAAAGTAACACAGGTTTGTTAATTTTTTTCTATACAGAGCACAGAGACAAATTCACAAAATTGTTACCACTAGTGCAGTCAATTCTGGAACAAACGCCAAGGGCTTGAATTTTAAAAATAAATCTCACACTTAAACTTCAATTACAAAGGGTCCTCAAAACTGTCCTTTTTTGTTCAATATTGTTTTATAGTAACTATGGTGAGGGAAAAAAAAATCAACTCCTAGTCCGTGTCAATGTAGAGTTTGCAGCACATGTCTTTTTCTGCTTTCCTTAGAAAAGTTCCTCCCACACCCCAAGTAAACATGGAAGGTCAATGGTTTGTCTGAACTGTGCTCATCTGAATGAGTACAGATATGTGTGTATGTTAGCTTGCCTTGCCTGAGCTGCCAGGATAGGATGTACTCACATAAGACACTGAACTAAAATAAATGGACTGGAAAATGAATGAGTGAATGAACATAAATTATTATTTAACTTGTGAAGGTGCTTTGGATCTTTATGTAGAAGATTGCTGATGTTACTGAGACCAGAAATATGACAAAATAATTTAACTTTTATTTATATTAATTAGCCTACAATAAAATTGGTGTTGTTTTGTAATTTCATTTAAAATCAGTTTCCAAGAACTCACTGACAATGGTGAGGACTTACTGTACTTTCCTTTGACTCTCACTTCTCTTACAGTCATCATAACAGCTTCAGTCCAGTCTTCAGTCTTTAGTTCCTCAGTTTTGTTCAAAAGTGTAAAGAAAACTGTAAGAAAAAAAAAAAAGTCAACAATCTCCCAAGTTTCAGGACACAGACATAAATCTAAAATGCAAAACCTAAAAAAAGACAAAACAGTAATTACTTTAATCTAGAAAAAGCTGGACAGTCTATCTTAACCCATGATTTTTTGTGATTCAGGCTTTGTAAAATTATAGGTTACAGAATAGGAACTCACAAGTTACACAGAGCATTAGGTCATGCTTAAGCTGTTGCCTAAGAAAGGATGTCCCTGGTGGAGAGAAAATGAGGCCGTCTTCTTTTTAAACTGTAGTTTAAATAGTCACATGGTTTGCCGATGCACTTTTTCACTATAGTTTGCTGGTTTAGGGTAAAATGAATATTGAAGCAAATCATTTATAACTTTAGTGTTGTTAATAACATTTTATCTTGATTTTTAAATATCGTCTGTACCCCTTCCATCTGAATATGAAATTCCTTGCTTCTTTATAGCTACAATAAATTCAGTATTTTAAAATTCTGCTACAAATCACTTCAAGGAGTCTTCAGGAATTCTATTCTTACATAGTTTCTACTTGGTGTGGCTCTTTTTCCATTATTAAATTTCTTGAAATAATGTCTTGCTTCTCAACATTTAGATTGTCCATATTTTTTCCAAATCATGATTCAAAAATCTTAAAGATGATTCTGAGAGTAGCAGCATTATAGTAATGTCTTTTCTCTAGTCTCCTTAATTTTCTAGTGACTTAAAAACTTTAAAACTAATAAACAAATTGAACTTCTGTTAGATTCTAACTTTTTAAAATTTGCAGTATGAGAAAATCATGATGGCAGCTATTATTCCTTGAGCCAAAAACTTTACAGAGACTTAACATATCATCTCTAATTATCACAAGGAAAAAAGCAAGGAAGATACCACTGGTTTCCCTTTATGGACAAAGACACCATTATGATACTAGGAAACTGAGCTGAGAACAAACCCAGGTGTCTTTGACAACAAAATTCATCTCAATCCTCAGTGCTGGGAAGAATTCCATGGGGTAAGGGATCCAGGGAGAGAGGGGACATGGTAAGGTTTTGTTTTGTTTTTTTAACATTAAGATATTACAAAGAACAAAAATATGTGAAACAACAGGGTATTAAGGGGAGAAAGTAGTGTTTGAGTGGGCTCTTTCCTTTTTCTCCCTACATTTTTTCAACATTGATTATTCTCCCAACTCCACCAAGGATACGAATCAAACACATAAAAGGCAGTGCTGGAAAAATAGCAAAGGGAAAAACAAAAATGAGATAGGTGAACTTTTAAAATTAAGGAAAGCTAAGGAGTAGAATGACTGGATTAAAAAGATGTGGTATTTAACACAATGGAATATTATTCAGCAATCAAGAAAGATAAACTCATGCTTTTTGCAGCAACAAGGATGTTAGTAATAATATAAATTAGTGGGTCTCAACTCTGGCTACTTTAAAAAATACCAAAGTCAAGCCTGACTAACTGAGTCAGAATCTCTAGTGTGGGGTGCTGTGAAAATGGGTTATTTCATTTTATGATCATATTATAAAATCTAACGGCACATTATTTAGAAATAAGAATGCTGAGACTAGGCAACATAGACAATTTTAATTACTTAAGAGTGGGGTCTACTACTCTCCTAAAGTTCATATATTAAATTAGGTAACAAAGATTATTCCTGATATTATTTTTAGGTAAATCTACAGTAATTAGAAATGCTTTAAAAAAAAATAGCAGGATTTAAAAATGGGGATTCCATATGACCCAGGAATCCTACTCCCTAGGTAGCTACCCAAAAGACACAAAAACACTGACTCAAAAATACACCTGCACCTGCATGTTTATTACTGCTTTATTTACAATCAGAAAGACATGGAATCAACCCAAATGCTCAAAAGGAGATGACTGGATTAAAAATATGTGGTACATAACACAATAGAATATTACTCAGTGATCAAGAAAGAAGACAAACTCATGCTTTTTGCAGCAACAAGGATGGAGCTGGAAGGGATCATGCTTAGTGAAATAAGCCAGAAAGAGAAAGAAAAATACCAGATGGTTTCACTCATAGCAGGAGAATAAAGGACCTGGGGGTAAGGGGAAATAATAACGAACAACTATATATCAGAGACATTTTATGGGGGTGGAGTGGGGAATGGGATCAAAAAAGGGGGAGTGCACAGGACTATGGTGATGGCCTACAGGTGAACTGGTGATGGGAAGTTCACAGGGATTACAACTGAGATGGAAAAAGGCACAAAATGATGTAAAAATAAACTATTATAATAAATTTTTAAAAAGCAGGATTATGACAATGAAATTAAAATCTGTGATAGCTTAGTCTTTCTAATTTTCTGTAACAATCCTAATATAAATTAGTAGTTAATACTTTAAAATGTTAATTGTACAATACTGATTTAAGCTCAATAAGAGTCTAAGCTGAATGGTTAAAAATTACATGTACATTAAATCTAAATATGATAAATACAAAAATTTTTATAGTTAATGCTGAGATTCTAGAAAAGCTGGTAGTTTTGTGGTGAAACAGTACAAAAAAATTAAAAGTCTGTGGGCTTCCCATCACCAAATCACCCATATGCCATCACCAGAGTCCAGTGCACTTCCCTCCCCCCACTGTTTTCAATCCCATTCCCCATTCCACGCCCATAAAATGTCTCTGGCATATAGTTTTTCATTATTACTATTATTTTCTTCCTTCTCAACATATTTTAACTACAAACTTTATCTTTTAACTACAAACTTTTCTTCTACTTTTTTCCAAATGAAATCTTACCCCAAATAAATCTTATGAAACTGATATTCTACAGTACACAATCTTTGAAATAGCAATCATTAAAGACTTATTATAAGCCAAAAAAATCCCTTTTTTTATACTGTGATAAAATTTTTATTGAAAGTAGAAGGATATATAAAAAGTCAATAACTTCTACTTGAAAGTGGCCATTTCTGATTAACATTTTTAATAAAATTATCTGATATTTTCAATACTAAATGTAAACAGATGGAATCTTAAGCTACTCCTGGAACATGAATTAAAAAAGGATAGTTCTAATTAACCCAATTTATACCGACTGATAAGCTCACATACATATTTGTATTAGTAATACTTTGAATGTTAATATCATACCTTTTTTCCCCAAGCTAATTTAGCTTGTTAAGCCATAAATTTTTTACTTGGACTTTTGGAATTCTAAATACAAATACCTACAAAATCAATTTAATTCATGCTTCTTATCATAAGTCTCAAGGCATACCACTAATTATTTATTTTAATATATAATAAAAAATACATTCAAATATATATTCAGATATATACACTCTTGAAACATCAGAATACAGTACCAAGATTTCAAGAATACTTCCTGCAAACTTGCTCGGAATGGGGAGAATGGCGCTTCCCACCACAGCATAATAAAAGCCAACATTCAATATTCACAGTTCTAAGAACTAAGGGGGACATATCCTATATAAGTACAGAGTTAGGATGGAACAGAAAAGGAAGGGATTACAGGACATGCAAATTTATAAGAAGTTGGGTAAAAAAAGAACCAGAAGTAGGATGCAATTTACTCTGCTCTTTTTTTTTTTTTAAAAGATTTATTTATTTATGCATACAGAACTGGGTACAGGCTACAGGTGCCGGAGCAGTGAGAGGATTCACCAAAGACAGAGTGGGAACAGAACAGGCTGACTGATAAAGTACACTGCTGAGGGGAGCAGTGAGCTGGTCAGGAGAGGACTGCCATGCCACGCGGGTCACTTCTGGGGCAGGGATCTGGGATAGAACTCATGCTAAAGTGGCTTTAGCTACTTAGTGCTGTGCTTTAATCCTCTGTGGCACTAGGGAGGGCCCTACTCTTCTCTCTTTTATATTAAAAACAAACAAACAAACACTGAAGGTTACTCTCAAGGGATGAATAAGAATGGTAGAACATGGATTCATGGAGTTGTCAAAGAGGGTGGAGAGTTCCAGGTGTAGTATATTTAGCTTTTCATAGCGTTTTTCACCCAGATTACAAAACAAACAAAAAACAAAAAAAAAACAACCCAACAACAACCAACCAACCAAACAAAAAACACCCTGAATGAAGGTTAAAAGGAAGTGGGGGTAAGGGAAGGCAAGGTTATGCACAGTTCAGTAGGAGTCAACTCTAAAAAAGGCAGTAAGATTAACAGGAAGAGACACAAGTTTTTTGAGGAATCTACTACCTAGAATCTTTAATTCCCATCATCCTTTTTATTCTCACAACAGTGAAAATAAGATATTATTACCTCATTTTACAGATAACAATAAAAAATATGTCCAAAGTCAAGATGCTTTTAAGTGTACAACTTTCTAGTTTTGAAAGTCAATTTTCCTTTAACCACTTCATAGGGTCTTTTAACAGTCATTACTGTGAGTTACTGCCATAACTGTAGAGCAATCTAATTGTTCTAAGTATGTTGTTTTTTTTCCCCCTCATCTCTTCACTCTCCTCTTGCTTCTCCAGTACTTTGAGTGTTTCTGTTAAAAATGTAAGGTCTTTTGGGCCCTCCCTGGTGGCGCAGCAGGTTAAAGCACAGCACTAAGAAGCTAAAGCCACTTCCCCATGAGTTCCGCCTGCCCCAGAGGTGACCACATGGCGTGGCAGACTTCTCCTGACCCGCCCGCTGCTCCCCTCAGCAGTGGACTTATCTGCCTGTTCTGCTCCCTTCTCTGTCTCTGGTGAATCCTCTCACCCCCCACATTTCTGGCCTGTACCCCAGTTCCATATGAATAAATAAATCTTAAAAAAAAAAAAAATGTAAGGTCTTCTAACGGCATCAGCTTCCAGAAGGCCCTTCCATCTATATGATAAATCAATAAGTACTAACAATGTCAGTTAGTCTTTGGCTATTCTTGACACAACTCTTCAACTAAATGCTCAAACATGTTCCAAGTAGTTACACTCCTTAAGTAGTGATTTTCAGATGAGTAAGGTGGAAGATAGAGGAGTAAAATTTCTCATATCTTACTATACCTTTCGTCACTCTTAAAAGCCCAAAATGAAATCTGCCTTCCTATGAGGAGATGGAATTGGTGGTGTATGAAACGATGAGGTAAAAATTTAAAAGCTGTTTAAAAAACAACATACAGTAGTTATTTCAAAAGGCATGATTTCTTCCTGAAATACCGGTGTTTCAATGGGTAATATCAACTTTCTTACATAAAAAAATCTATTTCTTGTATTGAGTAAATTATTCAACATAAAGAAACATACAACTGCAACAGAAAAGGATATATATGAGTACTGTTTAGGTAATAAGTACTACTGAAAAGGTACATGTAAAAAATATTTTTAGTGAAATTAGAACCATACCATAGTTTTTTCAGATGAACTAAAAAACTATAGCTTTTAATATTTAGCACTATCACTTCCCACAAGTTTTCCTCCTTTCCTGTCACATGATTAGCTCTAATTTCTTAGGCAGATTAACACTAATATAGTGCTTCAGTATATTATGCTTCTTTTCTCAAAATATATTTGAAGTGGTTATTATTTAATAAAAAGTCCAAACATGATTCAGAATACATGTTCAAGTTATACTCTGTCAGGTCTATGTTTAGACAGTTCCTATTTCCCATTTGGTCTTTACTGTAAACAAATGTTTGATTTCAGGTATATAGTTACACTTCCATACCCTGTCTGACTTTTTCTGCTCAACTGCTAAGTCATTAGATAAAAAACATGATTTAAAAAGTAACTTACTGTTCCTCATGACAAACATCATGAATGATAAAAAACAATTTACTACATGAAAATTTTTCACAGATCCACATTAAGACAAAAATTAGAGAGTATTAAGAGAAATATTAAAGTCCTTTCTTTTACCTAGCCTTCCAACAGACTGGAAAAACTGTAAATGAAAAACTTTTTACCAGGTAAATGTAGCAGAAAAACCATGCCTCTCTTTAATCATCACATATTTAGAACTTAAAATTTACTTGACATAATAACAAAAAAGCAAAATTAAAATTGAACTTATACTCCCTTTTATAAGTAGTAGTGACTCAGAATTCAGAGTTCTAGGGCCTTCCCTGGTGGCCCAGCGGGTTAAAACACAGCACTGAGAAGCTTAAGCCACTTCTGCATGAGTTGGATTCCCTGCCTGCCCCAGAGGAGATCCACAGGGTGGCAGACCTCTCCTGACCCGCCTGCTGCTCCCCTCAGCAGTGTCCTTCGTCCATCTGCCTGTTCTGCTCCCCGCTCTGTCCCAGGTGAATCCTCTCACCCTCCGCATCTCTGGCCTGTACCCCAGTTCTGTATGAATAAATAAATCTTTCAAAAAAAAAAAAAAGAATTCAGAGTTCTAATGGAAAGGCTGGTAATTTACTCTGCAAAGGATCACAGTAAATTCAGTTTGTATTATATGCAGTCTATCACAGTTACTCAGACACAATGCATAAACAGTTATAACAGATATATACGGTGTTTCAATAAAACTTTTTCACAAAAACTAGCAGCACGCTGAATTTGATCTGCAGGCTGTCAACTACCTACTTGTCTACTTCTAATCTAATCCAAAGAATTTAACACTGGAATTAGACAGGGAATTCAACTAACTTAGGGGTCTTTACTAATTCTTGCAGAAGTCACTGGTTAGCCAGAACTTAGAATAAAATAATTTAGAATACAAAGAGGTATAAATAAAGACTTTAATCCTTTATTTTATTCATAATGCAGTTAAGAAAGGCTCGGAAAGATTAAAAATTTCTTCAATCTCCTTTTTGAAGTAAAGCTTAATGGAAGGAAGCTAGGTGCATTGGTTAAAGACAAAAAGCCACTTCCTTATTTTTCTTGGAGAATATGTTCATTACTTGTGTAACTGAAAGAATTTTAAAAGTAATTTTGATTAAGATTTACTGTAGCTAAAGTCAGATATAATAATTTTTTTAAAAGAGAAATGACATAAGATCCATAAATAGTGGAGGAGCTTCAGCAAAAATTCATGTCTCCTGACATTTCAACCAGGAGTCTTTTCCTATATTGTAACAACCCATATAAAAAAATAAATTATTTTGAGGCACATTCATCCATCAGTACTTTTTCAAACTGTCACTAGTTTTTATTATCTGATTCCCATGTCACTATACTGCTTATCTGTTAAAAAAAAATGACATAAATTGTAAAACAAATCTCAGCTTCAACGCTGATCTAAAATCACTTAAACTCACTTCCTCAAAGACATACTTTCTAAGCCGTTTGGGAAAAATGATTCAGGACAATTCTCTTCCCATTCATTTCCTGCTCAGCTCCAATACCTTACTGCTTCCTTACTCCTTAACTAAACCTCTCTTTTTTGGGGGCTTCCTTTCTCTACTTTAAACATTTTCTCTGGTCTGTAAGTTCCTTCAGGTGCTTGCCCATAAATGGTTAACTATTTAATCAATGATTAAATGCATATAAAATGCACATAAAAGTTATGTATAATTATAACCATTAATGAAAGCGCTCAAATCATCTGGCTACTGTTACCTATCTAGACAGTAATGAAAATTATCTTAAACTTGCCAGAAGCACACTTTACGGACATCAGTGAGAACCACAACGCGCTTCAGAAAGTTTCTAAAGAATTTCTAACCACCAGGAATGGCAGTGAGTTGACCTAGAGTAGGCTAAGAAACGTTGCCGCGTACAAACCAAAAGCTTTTCTTTCCTTACAAAAAGGATTACAACGAACGCTCCACGTAGAAAGACTGCCTTAACTTTCTTCTGCGCCCCGCAGGAAACGCCTCGAAGTCTGCGCGCGGGTGTCCGGGAGGACCTCGCCCGAGGCGGGGGCAGGCGCCCCGCTCCCAGCTGAGATCGGGCGCGGCCAGAGCCGCCAGGGCGGGTCCGGGAAGCGGCTAGGCGGCGAGGCGGGTTCCGACCTCCCGACCTTCTCCGCACGCCCGCGGTCCAGGGCTCCGGCGGGCAGAGTCCACGCCTACCTGTTGTACTCAGATGAAACGAGACTTTCCCGGAGTCCAGCGGGAAGGAAGGACTGCGCTGGCCATTCCACCGTCCCTGCGCTGCGTTTCAGCCCCTTCTACTCGGGCTCCGCCTCCTTCAGCCGCGACCTCTAGCCCCCGATCCGTACCTGCACCCGGTGTCCCAGCTTTTCCACCACTTCATTGCACCACCACCCTGGAGACCCCCCCAAGTCTCGCAACTCACAGTGCGGGCCCCGGTGCGTAGTCCCTCCAGGGATGGGAGTCGGGACGCCCCCTCCCGCCGTCAGCCTCCACGCTCCCGATTCCAGACGGCTCGCTCGCGAGGGTCCCCCTCGGCTCAGCTCCCGTCCGGGTCCCTCAGGTTACCCGCTCCACACCGCAGCAGGGCAGCGCCGGGATTTGCCAGCGGCGGCAACTGAGAGGCAGAGAGGCGGGAGGGGCGCGCTCGGGGCGGAGCCGGAAAGCTGGAGCCACCAGCGCGCCGGGGGCTTACGATTGGGAGCGTGCCCGGCGCCGCGCGGCGGATCCAAGACCCAGCCAGCTGGCTGCCGAGCCATCGAACGCCCACTCTGGCAGGCACGACTGCTCTACTGCGGAAAGAGCGATGGAAGAGACTGCTGTCCAAGTTGAGACCAGGTAGCAGCTTTGCAGCCCGGAGATTCAGGGCACAAATGTGTTTATTGCCAGCCAGATTTCGAGGGGGTGGCATTGGAGCACCTAAAGTCCAAGATAGTCCAAGATATTTCTGGATCCTGGAGAAAGTCCGGTAGGGAGTGCTGTGGGTGTACACGGTGGAATGTTAAACGTGGAAGGGAACGTCCTAGAGCCCTGTAATCTTACCGCTTCGTTTTTTTTTCTGCCTGACAATCTGGTGCCTGACTTGCTCGAGGTTAGTGTATATGTCAAAGGCAGAACTGGGATTTACAGCTTCTTGCTTCCATGTCAAAAGTCAAAGTTTTAAATGTAATTTTGCAATTCTTATTTTGAAGTAACCTCAGAACTCACAAAAATGTTGCTAGTGCTGTACCAAGAACATTTTTTCTCAGAATCATTTGAGATTTAGTTGGTTCCCTGAGCCATTTAGATTTAGTTGTTGATGTCACATTGTGTTTGTAGTGTGTATGTCCTACTAATTAGCAGCAACTATCAAACATATCATATATTAATTTTGCTAATTGTCCCAAGGAGGTTCTTTAGGGCCAAAGGATTTCATTTCAGAATCAAGCATAGTAATTATTTGTTATGTATCTTTAGTTGCCTGCAGTCTGGAACACTTCTTCAGTCTTTCCTTGATTTTCACATCCTTGACTCTTAAAGATTTTAGGTCAGTTTTATATAGTATGATCTTCATTTTGCATGTGTTATAATTACTCACGATTAGGTTCAGAGCAGGCATCTTTGACAGAACTTTCACAGAAGTGATGCTGTGTTCTTTCATTGCATCCTATCGGTGGCTCACAATTTTGTCTCACTGAGGTTTATTTTAATAAGTTTCTGCCAGTCTTATTCACTCTAAAGTTTCCCTTTTGCCCTTTGTAATAAGTACTTTGTGGGAGAGATTCTCTGAAATTGTGCAAATACCTTGTTACTCATCAAACTTTCAAATATACTTATATCAATGTGAATTCACTTACCTATCTTATAAATATTATCATTGTTTTGATACTCAGATTGTCCTAAGTTTGGCAGTGGGAGCCCCATTTATGCTTACTTCTGTGTCTTTTTGTGTGTTGGAATTTTTGGCAATTTTATTGTAGAATATTTCTAAAATACAGGATATGTATTCACAATTTACATTAACATATTACTATTATCTGCCCTTTGACACACCTGTATCATTCTTTGAGACTTTGCTTTCTGGCACAGTAAGATGCCCCAGGTTTGTTGATCCCCAGCTTGGATGCAGTCATTTACTCCTGAGCTTTTGTTCTTTGGACAAGGAGGAATGGCATTTAGAAGTACAAGGTATGCTCATCTATATTGGAGCATCATTATTTGGGCTATCCCAGTGGATACAACTAGGAAATGATAAACATTCATACACTTATGCATCTGTTTACATATACTAACACACTAACAAACACATTTACAGCTATGTTTCTTTAACTATATTGAAAAACCATATGTTCACAATAATATCTTTAATCCTGTATGACACTGTTCATCTACTTTTCTCCCTTTCACATTTATATCTCCTCCCACTAAAAGAAGCTGGATCTTATTATCCTGGAGATAATTACTTATTTGAATACCTCCCCTATATTTAAGTGATCAGAACTGCCAACTCTTCTTTTGCATTATGTTGTCCTTACACTACCAAGATTCTGAAACCCTTAAATTAGCCACTGCAAGAACCTTCCATTCTCTTTCTTATCCCAGCTCCCAAACTCTGTGCCCATGCCCACTCTAATGCCTCTATTGGAGCTGTTCCAATAGCCCTTGACAAGCATTCCCTTAAGCATACTTCTTATTCCACTTTTTTATGTTTACAGACTCTATATAACTTTATCTATACCTAGATCTATGTAGATGCAAATAGAGAGTGCTCTAGCTGTAGATATTTCTATTTCTATACATAGATGTGTGTGTGTGTTGTAAAGCATCCTGAGAAAAATGCAAAAATATTATAGATTCTGAAGGCAGGGCCACTTACTACAATATGCAGTTGGGAAGCTCATGAACAGTTAAAAGAAAGAGATGATATTGAAATGAACTTTAAGGGCTTCCCGATAGTGTGGAGCTTAAAGTCTCAGCGCTATCAGCTATCACCAGCCATTGCTGCATGAGTTTGAATTTGGTCTAGGGAGCTGACCTCTCTTGTCTTGCCCACTGCTTCCCTTCAGCAGTGTATTTTAGTAGATCCACCTGTTCTTCTCCCCAGTCTGTCTCTGGTGAATCCTCTCATTCCCCAAACCTATGGCCTAAGCCCCAGTTCTTCTATGCACAAACGGGCAGAATAAATCTTTAAAGAAATGGACTTTGAAGGAATCATAAGAGTGAGTAAGGAGGATATTCTTTATTAGATATTGAAATAACCCTGGAAGATGATTTGTGGGTCCAAAGCACAAAAAGTAATTCATCTTGGAGCAATATGTAACAATAACAGCACTAGAATTTTACAGCTCAAAGGATTTTATAAACACACCATGGTGACAACAAGGCATCCAAGGAGAAATATGGGACTGTAGTTTAAAAGAAGCATCATAATAGGAGATCGATATTCAGAACTTTTCTACAAGGAGTTGACAACTGACACAGTGAAAGTAAAACTAACGAAAACAACAGGGACAGCATTCTGAAAAACAGCCAGTTTAGTTTTAACCACATGGGTGTGTGTCCCACTTTTGAACTATTATTCTATACTTTGTTCAATCAAAAATTTATATTTTGAGTCACAACAAAGAGGATGATGTATTGTAATTATTGGAGACAACATAACTTTGGATCAGTGATTTATGTTCAAGTACTTAGTAGTCATGGCCTAGGAAAAACAACTTTTACCTTCCCTGAGGTGTGGTGAAGATTTGAAATACAGTAGCAATAACTAGCATGTACCCATTTTGAAATGATAGTACTTGTGTGCACTTACTTAACTCCCTAGCCCCAGCTTCCTCCAGCTTATCAACTCAGTGTCACTGTTTGATACATATATGTCACTCATCAGATGTTTGTTGAAGGAATGGAGGATTTTATATATTCTCTATTATTTTATACTCATCATTCTAGAGCATTAAGCTGCCCATTTTTGTTTTCTGTAAAGTAATGATTTCCTCACCAATAAATTCTTTTTTTTTAAAGATATATTTATTTATGCATACAGAACTGGGGTACAAGCCAGAGATGCAGGGGCACTGAGAGGATTCACCAGAGACAGAGTGGGGAGCAGGACGGGCAGATCATCGAAGTATACTGCTGAGGGGAGCAGCAGGCAGGTCAGGAGAGGTCTGCTGTGTCATGTGGATCACCTCTGGGGGCCAGGATCAAATTCACACTGTACAGCCAGCTGTGGCTAGCATGCAGTTCTGCGCTCTAACCCACTGTGCCACCATGGAGTGCCACCAATAAATTCTTACACGCAGAACTGCTGTTATGTAATGGTATATATAAAAGTTATGAAGTAAACCAGCGGTCATCCATTTGACTGACTGTGATATATTAATCTGTTGTTCAAACACATTTGATACAGTGATTTCAGCATCTAACCAGTATCCATTTGAGAAATTGAAAATGATCTATTACCTAAAGTTGCTTCTATCTCTGGGGTTATAAAATTTAATGATAGTAGAAGAGTATTACCCAAGTAACAGGACTTTATTGTAGCCGTGGCTTTCTAGATATCCTCTCTTGACTGTATTCCTCAAGATGTTACAGTGATCCTTTTAAAAGAAATTCTTAGGGACCTCCCTGGTGGCGCAACTGGTTAGGACGCAGCACTGCAAGCTAGCAGCACCCTCTTCAGTGCTAGTTGGATCTCCACCCCAGAGGTGACCCACATGGTCTCCTGACCACCCCCCCCAACCTCAGCAGTGTACTTCGTTGATCTGCCTGTTCTCCTCCTCACTCTGTCTCTGGTGAGTCCTCTCACCACCCCTGCACCTCTGGCTTGTACCCTAATTCTGTATGCACAAATAAATAAATCTTAAAAAAAAAGGAATTCTTAAATAAATCTGAGAAACACTATGTTAGTATATTATAGCCATGTCTCAGAGTCATATACATTAGTGGATTGTATTTCATGTAATGTTCAAATGTATTTGACAATAGAATATAATATTTTTTAATAAAGAATGCATACTAATATATTCTAGAACTACAGTTCCTGGGAGTAGACTTTGGAAAATACAGGGGTGGAAGTTTGTTATTAGTGATGGACTTCAATCAAGTCAGGTTTCTCAGTGCTGACAGAATCATGAAGAAGACTGAGGTACACATGTAGCAAGCTCATGTATCAACATAACTTCTACTCTGTCAACTCTGATATGACACCCACCCATACCCATCTTCAAGAAAAGATTGCTGGTCCTTTTGATACAGCTTTCTACTTTTTGGTTTATCGAACATTATTCACACATTCATCAATATACTGCTGAACTTGCTATAATCTGTCAGTTTTTAGTACTAAATTTCCTATATGAACTTTTGGCCATGGGTAGGGTTTTCTTTAGTAGGCAAACCACCACTATAAATATTCACCCAAGAAGTGCTTAAATTGGACCTTCTTGGTGGCACAAATGTTAAAGTCAGCTCTATCAGGCTATTGCCAGCTACTTCTGCATGCGTCTGATCATGGCCTGGGAGCTGACTCACATGACACAACAGATCTCTCCTGTCTCACTCGCTGCTCCTCTCAGACTGCCTCTTCTGCTCCCCAATCTGTCTCTGGTGAATCCTCTCAAAT